TATTGTTCGCAGGCCATACATTTCTTGCATGCGGTTGTCCACGTTGTACGCGATACTCGGCAGTAATTAAATTTCGAGTGGTCTTTCCGTAGATTGACTTTACTTGGAGAAGGTTGCGTATACCGACCGATCTCCCCCACACCTTCTCTATTTCCACATTCACCTTACCGATCTCCACCTTCACTTTCTCTTCCATCCGCCTCATCTTCTCCTCCATTACATAATTGGCCCCAATGCAGAACGGCGCCAAAACGGTAACCGCCGTGCCGGCCATCTTCGATCGATATCCGACTAGCATGTTAACGGAGAGTTGTTGCTCGTATTGTTCGCAGGCCATACATTTCTTGCATGCGGTTGTCCACGTTGTACGCGATACTCGGCAGTAATTAAATTTCGAGTGGTCTTGCGGTAGATTGACTTTACTTGGAGAAGGTTGCGTATATTTTCGATCGATATCCGACTAGCATGTTAACGGAGAGTCGTTGCTCGTATTGTTCGCAGGCCACACATTTCTTGCATGCGGTTGTGCGATACTCGGCAGTAATTAAATTTCGAGTCGTCTTTCGGTATATTGACTTTACGTGGAAAAGGTTGCGTATATCTTCGATCGATATCAGACTAGCATGTTAATGTCCACGTTGTACGCGATACTCGGCAGTAATTTGAATTTTCAATTCCAACTAAAGCCTCTGAACTGGTCACAATCCGTTCCGACTGAACGCTTTCGTCTTCTTGACCGTCAACTTGGTTAACAATGTCAATTATTGCTGCACTAAAGCAGGGTCATCGGAATTATTGTTCAATTCCATAGCTTTGTTGATATTTATAAAGTTTTCTTTGGATCATTTATCGATAATTGCTGAATGAGATTAACGATCTCAATTTCGGTTTCATGAGCCTCATTTGAAGCAGTATCCGTTTCCAAGCAATTATGCTATCACGTGGTTTTTTGGTAAATTGATTTGATCTGAAGAAGGTTGGGTATGTCTTCGAACGAAATCCGACTAGTATGTGCGCCAAATTAATTTCCACGTTGTACGCGATACCCGGCAGTGAAGGGCTGGTGAATTTGAATTTCGCGTCGTTTCCGGTAGATCGACTTGACGTGAAGAAGGTTGCGTATATCTTCGAATGAAACCAGATTAGCATATGAATGTCCACATTGTACGCGATACTCGGCAGCGAAGGACTGGTGTAATTTGAATTTCGCATCGTTTTCCGGTAAATTGATTTGACCTGAAGAAGGTTGGGTATGTCTTCGAGCGAAATCCGACTAGCATGTGCGCCAAATTAATTTCCACGTTGTACGCGATACTCGGCAGCGAAGGGCTGGTGTAATTTGAATTTCACATCGTTTTCCGGTAAATTGAAGAAGGTTGGGTATGTCTTCGAACTAAATCCGACTAGTACTGGGTGCGATCGACCTCTGGACCGCTCATGTCGTTCCTCACAGCTTGCATCATGAAAAGACGTTAGAACGGCAAAGAGTTAGAGACACGAAACCGGAGAATAGAATAGTAATTGTAAAAAAGAAACGATACGGAAACGTTGCGTTGTAGATAATATCGATTTTTGTCGAAAAAACATTTGCGTATGGAAACATTCTTATTTTGCTAGACGCAGCGTTTCACGCTACGGTTCGAATGGTATTTCAGTTCGATCTATTAGAAGCAATACAAAATATCGTAAATGAAAAACGAAAGTAACAAAAACGATAACGGGAAACGATTCTGCTCAGGGAGATCAATCACGCAAAAAAATATCAAAGCCTTTTCGAAAACATCCAAATACCTAGTGCCAAGAAACAGTTTTGGACGCTACTTGAAAACTTTATGTAGTTGAGGCTGTAACGTCCTACCAACCAACGTTGGAAACCGGGAGGAAATCCAAACCGCAATGCAAACGTGCATAATGATATTCCCAACAGCGCGGTGGGAGCGGTTAACAAAGCAACTATTTCCACAACGTTTACTAGCAGTCTTCCCGCACTGCTAATGTTGAAAATAGTTTTCAAGCGTTTGGTAATTGATAATGCGTTCTACACTTAAGCTCTTTGGCTGCATTCTCAACTTGTGTCAAAAATGCCAAATCGCATATACGCTCGCCGTGCCCCTTCTTATCTCTAGCCACTCCTAGCGCGCTTGCATAATCTGCAACGTTTCTAGCCAGATTCGGCAAATCTTGCGAATTGGAACCGTCATCTCGAGATGGTAAGAATATATCACCAATGTTCCATGTAAACCAGAATCTGCTTCCTTTACCAACTTCACTGTCAACTCCGAGTTTAGTTCGACTAGAATTTTGCATAGCGAGAGACCTAGACCAGTTCCATCCCGACCTCGAGTCATCGAAGCATCTCCTCGCGAAAAGTTTTCCCAATGTGTTTAATCGACGCCGGGTCAATGCTAAATTAATGGGATCGTGCAAAAAAACGCGGGAGTGTAAGGCCAAAAGAAAAGATGGAAGAAACGCCAAACAGGATTAGCATCTTACCCTACACCAGTATCAGATATTGCATCTACGACCATGTCTTCACTTTCTCTTATTGACAGTCTCGTTACAATTTCACCAATATCTGTGAATTTGATTCTATAAATTTAATGATAATTAGAACGTAGCTAATTATGACTATAGCCAAAGTAAATGAAGTTCTTACGTGTTAGACAAAAGATTCATTATCACTTGTTGTAACCTCTCTGAATCCGTCTTTACATATCTCAAAAGAGTCTCCGAGTCGTATAGAACGATCAGTTCAAGCTCCTTTGCGCCAACACGTTCACCAAGCATTATCACGTTCTTTTCTACAAATCAAAGGCGTGGTTTATCAACGTAAGCTTACGCTCATCCAATTTGGCTACCGATATAACCGCATCGGATGTGCGAAGCATTGCTTCAACCATATCTTGTTGTTCAGGTGTAAGATCTGTTCCTTCGAAGGCAGAGAGCGCTCCAGCAATTGCTCCCAACAGGTTACAAAGTTCTGTTGCTTTATTAAAAAAGTCATTATCATCGTGGCGACGGACATGGGTAATAAGACCCTTACCGTGAGACGTGTTGGCGAGTACTTGGCCCTAGTTCTATTAGACTCTTTGATGGCATTTATTTGTGTTTCTCGTTTTAGTTTTTCTTCGACGAGGGTGGCACGGCTAATGGCTAAACTTATTTGGTTTGAAATTTGGTGCAGAAAATTCGTTTCGGACTCTGTCCATTTCTGACGGTTGTCGGTAAGCAATTATCCATCCCCCGATGACGAGTTCAAATGAATGGTTGCGCTGAAAAACGACACGCATTGATTCAGAATATGCGACTCACACTTCGAACAAGCTTTTTTATATCACTTGGTAACGAGCCTTGCCCTATATGCCCATCTGTTCATCACGGAATGTACGCCCAACAATTTTGTTTCTTTGAGGATAATGAAGCCATGTCAAGTGTTTCTTGTATTCCAAAACCAGAACGAATTTTGTTGCTGATTATGAACAACAGCCGTCAGTCATAACGTAGTGAGTAACACTTTTCAAGAACTGCGTATAAACATTGACGTAATAATAATGATAGAGCGATCTGTACGTTACTCAACTTTCTGTATTTGGAAAGGGTTCAGGTACCTTCGTGGTGGCCATGTGATTGCTCGCTGGGAAAGATGTTGCGTATGAATAAATTGACATTGTATCGGATATTTCAATAACTCCTATCTCCGTTGTTCTCTACAAGTAATCGAACAGCTACCCCGAGAAAATTGTTGGAAAAATGACATCATCGGAACAATTATGCTGACATCAATTAATAAACAGAAAAACTGAATCGCTAACAAATAATATCTTCCTCTCGCGTCTTCGATTCGCTCAGGGCTTGGCAACAATTACTGCTGCGAAACGCGCACGTTATGCAGTTAATGTTAAATAATAAGCCAAGATTAATGTCTCCATGCAAGAAAGTTCTATTTTTGAAAGCCACCAGCTTGTCGAACTGTATTTAGCATTGTCGGGCTCGATTAAAACGGCTAAAATTTATTCAATACCCATAGACTCGACATAGCAGCTTGAACGTGATCTGCTATGTACTACACTACCCTACAATAAATTACCGAATTTTTTGTCAAACACATAGTAAAACATATGAAATTTTCATTTTTTAAAAGAGCTCTATTGCACGTATTTACTATGTAAGTCACGACGATTTTTGTACCAATTTGAAGATAATTGACTGTACTTTTCGAGAAACATGGTGGTATATTTAAGCCCATCATTATTCCGACGCTGCAGTTCGGTAAATGAGGCTGTTTACATTACACATATGTTTTTCATAGATTTTCATATTGTAACATAGATACTGTCATTTCGTTGAACTGCAATTTCGGAATAATGACGGGTCTAAATATGCCACCATTCCTCTCGAAAACTAGTCAATTATCTTCAAATCAGTACAAAAAATTGTCATGACTTACATAGTAAATACGTGCAATAGAGCTCTTTAAAAAAATGAAAATTTCATATGTTTTACTATGTGTTTGACAAAAAATCCGGTAATTTATTGTAGGGTAGTGTATGTGGACATGACAGCACTGATTTTTTCCTTTGTTCAATTCATCGTAAATATTAATTCCTATACACGGTTGCCCTATTAAACATACAATAATATTCAACGTATTTGCCTTTGTCATTAGATTAGGCTCTTTCATATTTGTAATTACGAAATATTCAATTACCGTACCGCTAATAAATTATTGAATATATGACAAATTTTCAATACTGTACAATTGATAATATGCAATAAGTATGTAATACGTGAAGAAGATTATAATAATTTAAATAACAGACTAGTTTATTTAAAAATCACATATTTACAAAATGAGTATACAAGCCATAAAAATAGCCATAGTAAATAACATTCTATTCTCTGTACAAGCCTTCCAAAGTACACGAGTATCATACAATATTTAATGCAAACATATCAACCAAATACCGTTCGCTCATCAATAACAAAGTGAACAAAACATATTGTTTGATTGTCTTTGAAAACAAATTGCACTTGGCCTACTTGCGGCATATCGACATCCTAAAAATAATATTACGCGCGTTTAGTATTGGAAGCATAAATAACACACAGATTACAGTTAAATACTTACATTCGAGTGATCTAATAATCAACTAATAATAATGAACGATTAGACAACAAGATTATCATCACAAAAGAAGAGCATATCGTATTCAATACTTACTGAAAGGAGCTGAAGTATTCAACACTTGACTATACTGCCTTGCTGCATCCAGTTCAGCAGCACTAGCCGGTTCAAAACTTTTACTAACTAATCGCGGTTTTGACCTGTCTAGAATTCTCGCCGTTAACATTTCTTCGCCTTTCTCAAACGACTTGTACGTTTCATCTCTATAATGATTATGTTTTTTCCCCATTGTATAAGTCACCAGGAAACCCAAAATTTTTTCAGACACAGCTGCGGTTGGCCTTTTTGATGGATCCGCATCCCAGCATTTCTTCATCAATTCTTCATAACATTTAGGAGTACCCGGAACTATTTTCGCCAAGAATTATGTCCCTGCTATCAATATCGTCCTCATAAAATGGCGTATTGTCTGCAGATACTCCCACATGATCATGCCAAAAGCATAAATATCGGAAGCTTTAGTTTCAGGTCCGCCTCCTAGAATTTCTGGTGCGATATATGAAATCACTCCATATTTCCTACTCTGCCTTTCATTATCAGTATGATTAGCGGGACCGCTTAATCCAAAGTCAGTAAGATTGGCTTTCCAATGTTCAATGTCCCCTCCCTTTAATGTCTACCAAAACATTACCACTGTGTAAATCTTTATGGATAATTTCCATCCTATGGATAATGTAAAGCTCTCTCGCCAACTCCCGCAACAGATCCAGCCTCCACATCCAGGGTACAGTGATTAGACTTTGATGTAAGTAGTTTCTCAGATCTCCATATTTATAGTAATTCATGATCAAAACAATATTCTGGGTCGTGGGCTTCCTTGTGATGCCATATAATGTGGCCCCGATAGAAGAAGCCGAATTTATAAGCAAATAGTTTTTCAACTGTTAGAACGATTAAATATTTGATCAGATTAATTACTGATAACTAACGATAAAAAACAACGGTTCATAACTACTGATAAATACTTGTCTCATTCTCATATGCTTGGGACAATACACGGGAATCATTCAATTCTTTCAGAGCGACCGTCTGAGCTGGTCGAACTTCTAGGTTGTTCCAGTAACCTCGTATCCATTGAGCCTTATAAACCTTGGAGAATCCACCCTCAGCTAAAAATTCGGTATTTATAATCTCTCCATACGGAATCCATTCAATCTTTGTTCCTTCAATAAGTTTGCGAATAACATCATCACCACTTTGCTAAGTATTTACAAGAAACAATTACTTTAGTAAAGCGCATTATTATACCGGAAAGCCTACAACGTCAAGCGACCGCTTCTTACCATTTCAAGCGTTTTAACGGAAGAATATTTTGCATGCACGGGTTGGAGAAATTTCCTCCGTCTTTTATAATTCAACAGAAAATTTGGCACGTGACTTACGTCTATTCGTCATTCATTCAGGGATTTTTCCGGGAAAAACAATGACAAAAAACAACAAACGCGAAGTATATTAATATGGAAGCGGCCACCTCACAAACCCAGGACGCCCTCACACTGCGTTCGCGCGGACTTCGAAAGCCACGCTCACCCTTAAAAAAAATCCCCCATTACAACTTTACCCAAAAATAAAAAACGAATAAAAAAAATAGTCGATCTGTAGTGTCTGTACAAATCTACATTCTGCCATTATCCACCCTATATAGTACGCTCGCATATATTAAAGGAATTTCGGACTTTGAATTACGTCTTTGAAAGTCTTTTCATTCCGATTCAGAAAACAAACGTTCAAAGATTCTTTGGAAAAAAAAAAGTGTCCTATTAAGAATGATAAAGCGTCACCTGCATACTAATACACACATATATGTATGTATATGTGTGTTGTTGTGATTGCTTAGTTAAAGTATTGTGCCGTTCACATGCTAATACTTTTTAACCTCGGAACCTGACAGTCTTCTTATATGGTGCCAATGGCATAATGATTTAGAACTTGTTTTGAATACTGTAGAATATCGTACTATTGATATGATATTATAACTAGTAGGTAGCACAAGAGAAAGGAAAGCTGTACTGATAAGGAGATGATTTTTCTGGAACCAGTCAGTTACATAAAAATTTTGCTTGATATATGATGACCATTATAAATTCATACATCATGTTTTAGTATTAGAGGGCAGCATTCTATATCATGAAATTTTTTGTGTAATTTGATATACAGTCAACCTCCCCAGTCATCTCCTATTACTATATAGTAATAGTCACAACTTTCTCAAAAATGAAAGAATACTTGATCGTTTAAATTTTGTTGTGAGTGTAGTAAGGCGGCGACGATAGATAATCTTTTAAGCATTTTAAATGCCGGTCTTCCGTTAAGATGCTAACTTTTCATAAATGCACGATCTGGCGGCTCTTTCTTGAGGGAGTGCATTTATAGGCTGTTGAATGTTAACCACCTCAGTATAGTGTTACCCGCAATATATGTATGCGATATTTTCTTCGCATTGTTGGTAGGTCTTGCTAATTAACTGTTGGTAACCAACCTCCAATTTATAAGATTTTATTGCTCAGCAAAATTTTACAACTGACTCTTGTCAGTATTAGTATGCATAATAAAGAACGCGACCCACAAACTGATAATTATAAAATAGCACCCAAATGTTTGCAACGCTGCCAAGTTTCTCAAGCGCCTAGTTATCATAGAATTCCTGTATATATGCAAGTTGACAGTGTGATATAGTACTCTTTTCCTCTGGTAATGATAGTAATTTATTACTATTACCAACCATATTGAATGTTGCGTATCTTGTACAATACGTTTTCATATAAAAGAAAACAAGCCTCAGGAGCCAAGAAATCCATAGTTCATAAAAATCTTATTATGTCATTAATAGCCGAATACGTCTTCTTATTTTCAAACGACCATTTTATAGCTTCATTAGATAAATAGATCCCACTGTCACAATGCTAATCGTAACCCAGAATATGCAACAGCATAGAATGTATGGTAACTTGCGGCGTAGCCGCACAGCCGCCGCATGTACGAACGAAATATGCGGCTCTTCAAGATTATTTTCAACTTGTTGTACCTCTAGAGACATATGAGCGAGATTGATCTCTTCAGCTGTTGGCGGAGTGAGTGACGGCCCGTAGTCTGTTGGCGGAGAAAGTGATGTCCCATAATCAGTTGCTGTAGTGTTCTGTTGTTCCGGCGAAATTAACATAATGTAATAGAAACGATTCAGAGATCTTAGGTTTATACTTGATTAATAATTGGCTGTTTATAATTTTCCATCTGTGACCAATCATGAATAGTAACAACACATTAAACTAGATAAGGGACGTGATAGACATGTATTAACCAACTATAGTTATAGAACATATTGCAAATAAATAGTCGCCATAATGAATATAATATACCGACCATACGTTGGCATAGTAGTATCAGACGACGAGCTAATAAATTTGGTCTCTATAACTATCAATATATTATGTAGTTACTTGGGGTTTCTTTGTTTGAATATATTCAATGCAACCCAAGAAACAAACGATCTACAGCTACTGATGCCTTGTCCATGCGAGACATTGATTACGCGAATGCCCTTGAAAATTCGATAATTCTTTTAAATTCATCTTTAACGCCGGGATTTCTTGTCACGCGTTTGTGTCCCTTGAGTTATTGTCTTGTTGAAACATAACTTCAATGCGGTTTAACGTTCAGAAGGTGCTGCCAGTAATTTCTGTATACATATATAATATTCGGCATCGCAAATATGTACGTTAAATGCAAATAAATCGTAAACGTTACTTTAAAACATCACAAACAACCAGATAACAATCTTAATTATGCTAACATAGTTCTACTGTTTTCTAAACCCATAAACTTAAAAAACCTTCAAGAGTTGGTCAAAAAGAAAAACAAAATATTATAATGCACAATGCGACCAATTGCTTTTTGTCACCAAAGCATGCGAGTCAACATAGCCAGCAATTTATCGCCAAACAAAATGCCCCCGTCGTTTATAAAAATTAAAGAAAAAAGAATAATGGATCATACATTGTATATCGGCAAGATTTGATACATATATCTCGATATTTAGGATATTGAATGTAGTCAACCTCCTAATACAGTGTTACCCGTAATTATAATATCTAAATGTCTTGTTATGCAATATTTTCTTAATTAAATTGTTTATGTTGGTAGCCAACCTCTATCTGCAAGATTTAAATTTACAAATGTTACGACTGACTCTTGTCAGGATACAATAATAATAAAGAACATAATCAATTTCGCAAGCAGTATAGCAATGTCAACGACCCCAAAATGATAATTATATATGTAATAAAGATTACTAATTCAGAAAATATTATCCAAATGAAAAGTATATTGTATAATGTTTGCAATGCGGCGATGTTCCTCAAGAGCCTAGTTATCTTAAGTTGATGGCATTGAAGGAAATCGCCGGACACAAGAATCTCTGGATATATGCATGTTGATAGCATGACATAGTACTCTTTTCCTGATAATTAAACAAAAGTGAGTACAGATTTGTAAGACATAACGGCAAATTATCACCATTACCTGCTAATATCCCAAGCAGATTGAATTTTATGTATTCCACAGAATACCCTTTATAAGTTCCCCATAAGATAAGCAGACGAAAACCAATCTCGGGAACCAAGAAAAACCACAGATCATAATAATCCTATCATAATCAATTAATTACGTCATTAAGCTGCCGTCTCATTTACTTTCAAAGTTATCACGTTGTGCATTCATTACCTGAGCTACCAGTATAATCGTTACTATGAAAACATATGCTGCTAACATCACAAGTATAAAAATACTGGTCATTATGAAATCACAGAAAATATGTTTCCCTGGTACGGGAGAAACATGCGATTCTTGAAGATTGTTTTCAACTTGTTGCAGATTGTTTTCAACTTGTTGCAGATTGTTTTTAACTCGTTGCTCCTCCTCTGAAGACAGATTAATCTCTTCAGCTGTTGGCGGAGTGAGTGACGGCCCGTAGTCCATTGGCGGAGAGAGTGATGCCTTACAATCAGTTGCCGCAGCATTTGGTTGTTCCAGTGTAATAGACATAACGTAAGAGAAGGAATAGCTGATTTTGTTTCATGCTGATAGTAATAGAGAGACTTTTATTATGTTCTTTACGTCTGTTGCTGTGCGGCTGTGCGACTACGCCGCACGGCAATTCACCAAAAAAAGGTCTGAAAATTGATTTGCCTTCATTGATTGGCAGGTTGTAATTTCCATTGCTTGTAAATGTAATTTGGGCGCAATTCACCATAATTAGGTAACAGTACCAACTCTTACGTGCCGTTCCGTTCCGAATTTGTATCAGCCAATCAAAATTCCGTTGTTTTTCTTTTTACCTCCAAGACTTCTTTGCAAAAACCCCCCCCCCCACTTCCGAAAGCCATTAGAATCCTTTCTCGCAACACAATCTTTTATTTCTTTACACTTTTTAATAGAACCTTGTGTGGTGGGGATGGAACAAACGGACGTTGGGGGAGACAGAAATTGGGAACGGAACAGGGCTAGTATAGTCGATGACAACACATTTTTGCGAAACGTTGTTGACCTTCAAACCAGCTTCTTTCATAACTAGTCTGAAATATTTGCAGAAAAGTAATTTAGTCGTCGCAATAAACATAATATAATGCACATCATTGGTAGTTTTCATTCCGCTCACAAACCAACCGACAACCATATACTACTGTGATATCAATAGACTGTGTAGCAACTTAGTGTTCCGTTAAAATGTGTTCGACATCAAAAATATCTAAACTAACAATACCGGTGCTTTGTAAACATCTAAAGATTGCATTGTTACAGTAACGTGTCGATATCCACGTTATTATTAAACTTCTTCTATATTTGTTGGCAGTAATAGTAATATTTGTTTATTATTATTGGCTCTTATTTTTATAAGCTCGGGTATCATTGATTTAAAATATTTGCAAGTATGGAAAATGTACATTACTAATTTAGGGGTAGTACAGTAGTACAATACAGTGAACCCTGGCTTATTCCGAGCTCGGGAATTAGGGAATTTGATGCGTCACCCTGCATTGCACGTTTCTAATTATGCAAGCCCGTGATTGTCAGGGATTTGTAGTTATGATCTTACTACGTGTTACATTAATAATATTAATATGCGTTACGGAAAGAGATCTTTATAGACTTTTAAATGAAACATGATTAGAGGAAATGAAGTGCCTGATAGTGACGAATTTATTGAACACGTTGTTGAGTTATACAGAAAACCGTCAGATGTGCATGTCGCTGATGATAATAAAGTTGACGATAGTGTTGAATTACCGATTGTAAATTGCAGCAGTTTAGAGATTTGTACAACAGCAGAAAGCATGTTAATGCAATATCGTTATATCAGTTTAAAATCGATGAATGTAATGAAACAAACGATAATAGGTGAGTTTTTTAATCAGAAGTAATATTTGTTTCACTTGCAAATATTAAGTACAAGATATACTTTTTTCATTAAAATATTCCCAAGTTCCATAGCGGATTTGATGTAAAAATAGAGTGAAAAGAGCCAAGTAAGATTATAGTAAGATGGTTTATGAATTTATGTCTAAACCACCCCAAATACAAAATGACGACCAATGCGTAAAACGGCATACCTGTTATCTCTTCCAGAATTCATCGGAAAACCTTGCCGCAATAAAGACCTCAAAAACTCATCGGCAAACCAACGAGTATTGGCCGATCAGTTTACAAACCTCATTACAGTACAAGACCACCTAACAGATATTGAAACAGTTGCAAACTATTTATACTTCCGTTCCGTCCATCGCTTGTCTATAATAATGACCCACAATGTCCCTTGTTACCGGTTGATCTTTGAATACCAAATCTTTTTAAAACTTGGCTTGATTTGCGTCTTTTCCGTCGGGGAGCCATCTCTGTATACTCGCCTGCATTCATTACGTCCAGCTAAGCTTAGTTTACGTTTCATTTACACACAAAAATGCTTTTATTCTAAATCTAATGTTAAAATGCATTGCATTATTACCACGTGACTATAAAATTAGTGCTGTAATTAAAATCTAATTAATGCTATTAAATACATTGTCAAGGCGACCATTGCCCTAAACTCGTCAATTTCAATCCTACGTACGAAGATTGGCATACTCTATCGCCGTAGTCAAACTAAACCAAGTGACAGTGTCTCAGACGCAGTCATCTACAAGGCATTGATTTATTCGGTCCGACGCTTCTTTGTCACGCTATACCGTGTTTTCATTCTGGCAAACTCTGCATTCTTGCGCTTACGGCTTTTCTTTTTCATCTCGTTCTTTTGTACTTTACGCTTGGCGGCAGCCTCTGGATTTACGATTGACTAGATAGACAAACTCAATTCAGATATGACTCGACTGCAAAAAGCATTTTCTTTCGAACAAGTCCTATTACGCACCTGAATTACGCGTTTTTTCTTTCTCTCGCGTCGTATTTCTGCGACTTGTTGTCGGATCTTATTATAGACATTATGATACTCGGTAACACCCACGCGTTTTTGAATAAGATCGAGTACCTCATAACCGAGGCGTTTAATCTCATCTGTATTAAATTTAGATTCAGTTGACGGTCGAATAGATATTATGAATCTTACAAATACACGTACCTGTTTCTTTGCCTTTGTTTGTCTCATCATTGACAAATCGATAAATTGGTGATATGATCGTTTCGAGATAAGATAGTAAAACGGATACAGGAAGGAAATTCGCCATGGCAGCGAACCATTTAAATATGCATGTTCGCTGGCAGAAGAAAAGTATTTACAAGATATGCTCAAACCAACACTATTAAAGAAAAACAACAAAAACAAAAAACAAAAAACAAACGTACGTGTAATGCATGTGCTGGGTTTGTCACCTTGATTAATCTTAATTGATGAGAAAGCCGCATAAGCAACCATGACAAAGGCTCAGTACTTTTGGACCGCTCCAAACTGTTGTCCTGACTAAAGTCTTCGGAAGGTTCCAAGGTGCCATTCTGTTCAGTCTCATTAAGGTCTTCCTCGGGTTTCATGTAAAAAAAACATTTTCCAACAAAAAATAAATTCTTTACAATTTGCGTTCCAAGTTCTTCGTTCAGATATATGCTCTTGAGCTGGACGGTCGTACGTATAGCAATCTCTTTCAAAGTAGCACGCGTCAGAAAATTATTTTGCGTTCCGCTTATTATTATGGTCTCAGGATTCAAGCCCGAGAAATAAACTCCGAGTAATCGAGCGGCCGATAGTCTTATCCAGGCGTGTGGATAGAGCAGATGCTCTTCGATGAGTATCCATAGATTTGTAGAATACTGTGCGTAAACTGTCTCCGGGAATGCTTTCAAAAGTTTCGAGTAAGTGTTAAGAGCGTAATAGCCAATCTCCCAATCAACGTCCAATGCCATATTATCGTCATCCGCCTCTATTCTATCAGCATCTTGCATGATTTCCAAACTGGTTTTCATTAAAGATTCAAGCTGAGCGGTAAGATCCGTAACCCGTGGTTTAAACTTTTCTCCATATGCTTCGACAATCAAGCCATAGACTTGGGCAGCAGTCCGCTGTAGGCTCTTTTTCTCTGTGCTGACAAACCATTTATCGAGCAAACTATAGATAATTTTAATCCTTTCGCCATCCATGCGCAGCAGAAGACGTTTTATAAGCGCACCAGACATCTCTCTACATTTGCTTGATTCATCGTTTACGAGGGACATGACAAGAGCCAAGAAATACATTTCTGTATATTCCATAAGTATGTTCTGAGGAAACTTGACAAAGATCAAATTCAACATTTCCATAACCGATTGCCGTCCACTCTCGTAAATGTAGTTTAAATTCTTTGCTAAAAGGGCCATGAAAGTCTTCAATCGACCACGTCCCTGAGGATAGTCAAGCAAGAATTGAAATACAACTTGTCGGCACAAGTCTCGAACAAATGCGCTTTGGTTGGTAATCATAATCTCAGAAACTTCTTGCATCAAATCGTAAATTTCGGGGGCTATAAACTTTCGCGAAATTATTGCTTTGATTAACGAAAATGTCACGCCTTGCTTTTCTGGTTCTTCGAGATCTGGTCGAATAGTATCAATGAGATAGGCTAGTTGGTGTTCTTTTATTTCAACGTCCTTACAATGGCGTATAAGAACAGTAAGCAATTTGAAGCACGCCTGGCAGAGTTCGCTTCCAGTCGATCCTGTACCTTTGATCAGCGAAAAGGTCTGTTTCACAGTCACCGGAAACGCGTTATTCAGCGCAGGCAGACGCAACTTGCATAAAACACTCAATACTCTGACGGCTAAAATATTAATTGACGGATGTTTCGAAAACATGGCGTTCCCAACAATATCCACAAATGAATTGAGTAGAGCCAGTTGTTCCTCCGAATGTGTATCAAATTTCTCGTGTTTCAATGCTGACAATAACAGAGACAAGCCAAATTTCACAAATCGGTGTGCATTGACTGAATAAAAATCGTCGTGCGAATGAATAGCGTTATCACGTTTCAGTTGAACAGCGTAATTCTCTTCCATAAGCGTTTTGGCAACTTTCGATTTTGGTTTGTCTTGAATCAACTCGAGATTTTGTGAAATAAGGCCTCGACAAAAGATTGCCGACTCGTTGACTTCAAATTTTGGATTAGCATTAAGCCCTACAGACATCTTTCGCAACACCTCATCCACTTTATGCAAAACTTTCAGACTTATGGTCTCGCTCATTATTTCTTTCAGTGGAACCAACAAGATGCCAACATTTCGGAAATCAATTACTTTTGTAATAAGCTCAAAAGAATCAAAACTCTTGTTCGTCTTCATTTCTTTTATTTTAGCCGGAATTTCTTCGGCATCTTTTTCCTCCCCGACACTGCCAAAGATATCGTTAATCATAATCTCGCTGATCAATTGTAGACAATAGTCCAAGTCACCAACACTTATCGTTGGAACAATAGTTGCAAGAAGCGAGTGAAGAGTGTAGCCGAGAACATGAAGCTGATATCCACGCGTTAAAGCGGCTTGGAGTTCCTTTAGAATATAGTCAAAAAATTTGGGGCCAAGAAAATTATTGATTTTGCTGAGCGTATCCCTGGTGATATCCCGAGTATCCTGAGCGCGACTTTTGAGAATATGGCAGACTTTTGTTAGAAGACTAGGTAGTTGCACTTGGAGAGAACGTTCCGGTAGAGCCTTTAAAAGTTTGGCAATCGCAAAGGCAATCGGTACTCTGATTGCGATAGTCTCTTCAGTTCCTTGGGCAAGGTATTCGTTAAGGTCAGGTACAACTCTTTTGATTATCTTATCATGTATCTTTGTTGCAATCATCCGTTCTGCTTCATCGGGTGAAACACACTGTTTTCCCTGATTTATCTTTTCCCTCTCTTCTTTCTCCTCATCCATTTCTTCATTCTCATCGTATTCGTTGTCATCACTAGCATAATCTTCGCTTTCTTCTTCCTTTCCCTCTTCCTTTCCCTCTTCCTTTCCCTCTTCCTTTCCCTCTTCCCTTCCCTCTTCCTTTCCCTCTTCATCCTCATCTTTCTCATCTTCTTCCTTGTCATAACCGTCATCATCAATTTCTACTACTTCCTTATCTTTTTCATGGACAAGTTGGTTTTGCTCCTCCCCTCCATAGCCTAATCCATCCTTATCTGTCGAAGACATGTCGGGTTTGTTCATCACTTTTGTAGACGTCTCGATGGCATCAGAAAGACTGTTCTCGGAAGTGATATTTGCCTTAGAAACATCAAAATGGAATCCATCAAGAATAGCAATAATTACTTTTACTAATAATTTTTCCAGACGCTTCTCTTTCGATACAAGTTTTAAATAATAAAGTACCAGGTTATAATATTTACCCCAAGGCAAATGTCTGGCAATAGTTTCAATGGCTCCGATGACCTCAGACATTACAACTGGATCAGATTTCTCTTTAGCCGCAAGGATAAAGTGTCTGATTAATGGCAAAAATATTTGGGTAAGGGATGCGGTTGAAAATGCTCCGATATTACATTCGTTTGAAAATCTTTTCAAAGCTCGTGCTCGACGATGGTTCTGAAGATGATAAATATTATTAAAGAAGTTTGCCTCTTCATCATTATTTGCAAGCAGTGGGACTAGATCCGCAAACTGTGGCATCGATGCGAGATTACGGACACACTGATCCAATATTGATATGTATTCTTGGCGAACCAATTCGAGTGGTAATCGTACACCTAACTTGATGCCGGGGTAAATCACTTGCTTGACAAGTAATTCCATGTCTCCTCGAACATCTGATGTATCGGCAGCAGCACAGCAGCGTATGAATTGAGTTATACAAAACGAAGAGTTATTTCGTATTGAAAGTTCTTCAGGGTCTTGGATATAGAAAAGACAATTATAAAGAATCGGCAACCATTCTTCGGGCGTCAAGCCCTTATAAAGTTCGGTGTTTATCTTGTTGAACGCACCCAGACGAACTTCATAATCCGGTTCATCTAGTCGAATGATGGAAAATGCGTTCATTTCTGCAATTAGCTTTGCTACTGTACAGAAACTGGGTTTAAGCTCAGCAAAAATGCTAAAGATGTCTTGCAAGACCATCCTGGATTCTCTTAATCGAAGCGCAGTGAACAGTGTAGATACAAATTTATAATATTTTCTAAACAAGTCCGTCTCCACAGAAAATCCGGGAATTATGCGAATAAAACTCTGAAAAATTCGCAAAATGTCTAGCTTGACGAGCTCTGGTATGAGTTGTGCCGGCTTGTGCAGATACGGAATTAAAAGTTCAACTATTTTCGCTGCCTGATCGCCCTCATGAACGTATCCTGACACTTGCGCCAAAATTGAAATCTCACGTCGAGAGAATGTATTCTTTCCAAATGACTTTTTTGAACTGGATTGGAGCAATACTTGTTCCAGATTATCCAGTAATGATGGTACGTTCGGGATTAGGATTTTGTTTACGAGCGATAACGATTCATCTTGATCACCAATCTTCAAGTTCGATTCATCTTTGCATACTTTTAGAATATTCTCGATAATGTCCAAAACAGCAGAGAACACCGAGTCGCGTACTTTCTTTGCGGATAAGCAAGAAAAAATTGCAGGTAAGACCCTCGGGTCGAAATCAACAAGGAACGGCAAATATTCTTTGCGTGAAGCCCAAACGTAAATCAATTTCATCAGAGGTGATGGTGCTTGCGTCGATTCGATTCCGAGTTTAAGTATTCGAGGAGAGATCAATTCATTGTACAGTGCAGCAATGTAAGGGTTATAGTTGAAAGAGACGCGGATCTTGAAAAAGTCTGCTATGCGTTTTATGGCTAGTTGGCGCAAGGTTTTGTGTTGTTGTCGAAGACCACGCAAATTATCGGTTTCTTCATTGACGCTGTCGGTAATTGTTTTGACAGAGTCTGTGTCGTCATTTGCATCAAGATTGTTGGTATCGATTCTCTCTAAAAGTTTATGGGAGTCTCTGGCAATATACAGTACTACCTTAAATATATCATGCATAGAGAATACAAGATATGTGCCAAGCAATCTCAACAGGTCCTCTAAAAGTTTCAAGAATCCGACTTGCTTTCGGTAAGGAATGGCACTGCCGAACTCGACATCTGCAAAAGAAAATTCTGAGCCGACAATTCCTGGTTGTTTTCGAATCTCTTCAAATGGTTCTAATAACAAATCGACTAATAGTTTCAGTTCAGATTCTAAACAGTTAGATAAGGCCGCCAACGCAGCTGTTCTCTTTGCCCTTAATCCACCTTTTGCGGCCTTGCTTCTTCGTGCAATAGCTCTTCCATAAAGAATGCGAATTACTATTGGCATTACTTCAGGACGATGCATAAACTCGATTGAGGAGAAATCTTTTGCAAGTGAGAATGTCGAGAGCTCGTCGCGAAACCTGTTGTCATCCACAAGATTATTGAGATTTTCTTTGTACAATGTAAGCTTTGATTTCCAAGTAAAAAGACAGTCGAGAGCGACAGATTGCAGTGTGGTGTCACCCTTGGCCAATAGCCGTAGATACAGCTCACGAAGTTGGGCGGATTTGTAGAGGGATTGTGGATTCTTGAATTTCGCAAATAGTCGGAGAAATTGAAGCATTGCATTTCGCGAAACATGGGCTGATTGTTCAAGTACCACAACATCAGTATCGGAATCAATCTCCATTAACGAAACCTTGGACTCTTGCTGTAAAGGATTGACAGTCTCCTGAATGTCATCATCGGTTTCTCTTGTGCGCAGTCCCAAATAGTCTTCTGCGATCTTTTCATACTTTGACTCGGCAAAGCGGAAAAATAAAGGGATCAATTGTCTTGACCGTTGCTCTGCTATTTCAGGAACTTCGGTGAGCGTTCTTATTACAAGTCCATGATAATTCCAATAATCATGTCTTTCGTCTCTCGGAGAGCACAAAGAGACAAGATGCAGAGCAGCGTACTTGTTAAACTCGTTGCCTATGAATCGACGTGATAATGCTGATGCTTCGTTGTATTTCTTTAAATTTGGACAGTGAAATATAGATAGCTTCATCCAGTGTGAAGATGTCTCTGTAGAATTAAAGAATATTGACAAAACTTTGTTTGAAAAATTATTTTCTGCAAAATTTGATTCGTCATTAAATTTAGATAATTCATTATAAAGCAGAGTCCAGAAAGTATTCTTGTCTATTTCAGCCGCTATGGTTAAGACTTTAATAGTCTCATTCCACAAAGGGACAAAGTTGACAGTCAATTGTCCAAGACATAGTCGTATCACTGCGTCAATATAAAAATCTGGCAAGCGCCTAGACGCTATCAATGTTCCTAATGTCCTGAGTTTCATGGTCTTCTCCCGTATTTGGGAAACACTCGCCTCCGTTTCCTCGGCGGAAATTGCAATCGCGAATACGTCACATGGCTCCGTATAATTATTACGCGATGATCCTGGTGTTGGCTTCAGGTGAAATTGGTCATAGAGACCAAGAATCTTGAGAGTGTAAAGACGACGATTACAACCGAATGAATTAATATTCTGTGATAAACGGTGATAAATCTCTTGAAGATTGTCTGTTGTAAATTTATCGGCACGTCTTCCACTGTGAACCAAAAAAATTACATCACGTTAGCCATTATTGGGATTAAACCAAACAGAGTTTATCAATACGTTTCTACCTTGATCGCAGTAGATTCAGATAAGCAGCAGTCCCTCGTAATATCACCTCATTACTGCCATACTTGAAAAGAATCTCATCGATAATAATGTCAGCTAGATTATCCACAGCCTCGTCCAAAGAGTCACTGTGTTTTTTGCATGCCACTGCAAAAGCTTCAATGCTTAAGCCTAATAAATATTCCAACAGTACATAAAAAAATCCTCTCGTGAATGGTTGATTGAGAAATGGTGATGCTAAAGACGATTTACTTTCATTCAAGCAATCAAGTAGTGATCGTATTACAGACGTCAAACAGCTTGCTACTGCCGAAAAAGGTATCTCCACGTGAGAAAGCAAGTTGATAGCTGAAGCAACTAAACTCGGCTGAGGAAAATCGTTTACATGTTTGTCGATATCCACGAGACTAAGTCTCTGTACTTCACTAACCCAATTACGACTGCTGCTTAGAATTTTGAGTAAATCATCTGTCAGACTTTCTGAATCTTTTATGCCGGGATAACTCGCAAACTGTATCAGCCCCGCTTTCGTAATTAATGGAGATATAGTTCCGGTAGGTATTATTATGGCTTTCGTATGCAGCAAGTGTGACAAAAATATTGCTACTTTTGGGTTGCTTTTCCAATGTGTCGCGGAATATTTTATCACGTGAGGAAGCATAAACTGAGTGTAATTATCCCATCCAACGTTTGCCAAGTTCAACGAAAAGCTGAGGACCGCGTCTGTATCCTGATATCGGAAATATTATAAGAATTACAGATCACGATAACTGATGACTCATCATTTCCACTTACTTCAATTTGAAAAATTTTGTCCAGCAGCTCTCTTCCTCCGTTCAATATATGCTCTAGATCAAGTAGCGTTAACAGTGCTACACTGATGTTCAACACTTGATCGACCAAGAACCGGTGATACTGAAATGAATCAAAAGCTGCTGTTGCTACATCAATGATTGTTGAAAGTAATCGCTTGAAATCTACATGGGGCAATGGTACGTGAGCTAGGGCGATATATTTCATATAGATGTTGTCTATAATACAAGCAACTCGTAATGTAAACCTTTTATGCGTGATCCTTTTCTAACTGTTGTGCATATGTGAAGCAGTGAAACATTTATTCCCAATTTCGTAAATATAATGTTGCGTTGTTCTTTGTTGTCATTTGTCTCATTCACCGCTTTTAATTCTCTTTCAATTTCTCCGACGTACAAGTCAAGTATTACTCCAAAACTTTCGCATTTGCTGTGATGAACCAACGCGATAGTCATGTTTTTTATTATGGTATAGGTCAAATTCGCCTCTACAAATGAAGTCAGTTCATTAATATAATCGAAACCGCATTTCGTATAATTAATTAAATTGGCTACTTGCCTATTTCATTTATACAGAGTGACAGCTCGTCATATAGAGATTCCAAAAGTTCTCTTATTATTATCGTCCCTCGGTCATGAATTGAATTCTCATCATCCTTGATACAGTAAATCGGCACATTAGTTGCATGCTCTCTATTTGCTCCGCATCAACCATCTTGCAAACGCGTGTTATTATGACTCACTTTAACGGCCTCAACAAAAAAAATGCTCAATCCCTCAACATTATCTTTGGAAGACGGATTATCTCGAAGCGGCTGCAATGCATACCTTACAACTTCCCCAAGTTTGTCATCCTTTGCTTTACGTAACAAGTATGCAAACGCTTCAGCAGCAAACTGCCGAATATATGGGCGTTGCGAAGTTGATTCGCCCAACAAAGGTGCAAACAAGCTGAAAAACATTGATAATAAGTTTAAGGCACAGATAGAATGCATTTCAAAAATATCAACTTGCAAAGCGTCAACTCACCGATACGTAAAGCATAGATCATTCTCAAGTTGTTTTGATAAATACTTAAACAAGTACGTAATACAGTTAAACGTCCACTAGAAAAATTTGTTTGTTAGTGCTCATCTTCTACAACAGGTTATCAAAAATTTTGGTCCTCACCTCCAATATTTCCACGTCTCTGTATTTAGTCAATTCAATAACACATTCTATAATTTCTCCGAAATATGGATAGAAATCTTCTTCCAGATCATGTGCAAGCTTAGTCGTTAAATCCAGCAATGGCTCATACGCTAAACTATCTCGTACTCGCAAATGTTTCTTTAATATGTTGATTATCTCATCTTTGTGATATAATATTTGTGGAAGCGTCTGTGATATCGACCGTATCTCTCGCATAAAAGCTGTAAAATGTAAGGTAAGGTTGAGCTCTCTCCATGATTCAAGTGCTGAATGAAAATATGAAACCTGTAATATAAAAAAAAGCATTAATAATTCTTCTCTTATTAAAACACAAGAATTATTATAATAATCTTACTTCAGGCTCGTATTCCTTTCTTTCTCTTTTAACCGCATCAATTTTTACATTTTTAACTCTTTCTTTGAATGATTGATACTATAACACAAAAGAAGAATGTTACAATCAAAACCAATGCGATATATATAGTCGTATGATCATATACATATAGCTACTTTGAATCTGTTCTTTCCGGTCCCTGAAGTGTTTAGTTCCTTTACAGTAGTTGTGTTTTTCATTTTTCTATTCGACGCGTTAAGTTAAAAAAAAAAAAAAAGCTCATATAATTGTATGCTTAAACCAAATTTTTTAGATACATTCACACATCACGTGTTTTACTCAAGATCATCCACCAGTACCAGGTCACAACCAGGCACCTAAGCGTACTATATCCTATAGTAGTAGTCGATGATAGCATGGATACGATCATGGACGAATCGTACGACGTTTTTGACGACGGTATGTCCGATCTGAGCTCTTCTGGCCTGGAAGATAGCGAGCAGTCCGATTACGAAGGGAATAATGCCATAAGACATGCGCAACTTTCATTCAAGAAAGATGACAGAGTTCTTTGTTATCATGGACCCATGCTATACGATGCAACGGTATGCAGCAGCAAATGTCTTGTTTTTGCGAACAAGATCATCGATGAAATTTGCCTTTTGATTTATTACAGATAACTGATATTCGTGCGCTATCCGATGATTCCGAGGGAGATGGGCCGCAATATAAGGTCCATTACACGGGATGGAATTCCAAGTAAGAGATTATTATAACGTGTTTTATCACAGGAAAAATCATCTTTGGCTAATACGGTTCAATGATTATTAGATGGGACGAATGGGTTAGTGAAGGAAGACTTCTCAGATTAAACAAAGATAACAAGGCAGTGCAACAGAGGCTAAAGATTGAACTGATGTCAAAGGAAAACTCTAATGCTGAATTGCTAGATGAGTCCTCATCCGAAATTTACGATTCAGAGTATGAAGACGATGAGGGCGAGGGTGAGAAATGGATACAAAAACGTAGTGTTTTAGCTTTGGAGACGACGCAACTGCTGACGAATTTGCCAAATATCGTATTTATCAATAGATTACTACGAAGATGATGTAAGATTTTTGGTTTGCTTCTCGATATATCTATCTTTAAATCGACCGACAGCCAATGTCTCTAGTTATCTCTTAGTATGCCGACGACGAATGGAGATTACAATTAGAAACCTCGAGTCATACAAAGGCAAAACTCCTTGATGATTGGGAATTTATTACCCTTCGGTTTCAGGTATGCCACGCATAAGGCGTTGAATGATTAGATTTACCGCCTCTCCCCCTCTTCCCCACCGTTCACTATTTTTACAACATAGTTGATAAAAATGCCGAGATTACCGACGGTAGACGATATCCTGGCCGATTATCTCGAGTACAGACTGGACATGGAAGAAGAGGAAATCAAGAACGGTCGCAAGGGTAATAGCAAATCAGATTCAGGAGACGGTGAAGACGAGGGTGAAGAAGATGACGATGAGGACGAGGACAATGACGACGGGCACGATATCCATGACAGCGATGACAAGGAATTAGAAAATGTAAATCAGGCACGCAAAAGAACAAAAAGGACTAATATAGACGGATCAATATTAGATCGCAATGTAAAAATAGAAACGACCGATGCATCGATAATAGATGATGAATCTGTAAACTCGACAATGAAGAACGCAGTTTCCGACCAGAATGTAATGATGTCGATTGACTCTGACTTGAAAAACGACAAGGACGATATGACGGCAGTTAAAACAATCACAATCGAAGAATTGTGGGAGCAAAGAATAGCAGAATTACGGAATCTTTTCAACGTAGCTTTGGGCAGACAGTTATTATATCGATTTGAGAGATATCAATTTGCTATGCTTTGTGAAAATCATCCCGACGGTGAATTCTCTTCTCTGTACGGTGCCGAACATTTATTGAGACTCTTGGGTATGCAATATTGTATCTCGTTGTTTTAGGCATTATGTGTGTGGGTGGGTGGGTGCGGGCGCGTTTGTTTTGCTAATTACCGATGATAACTTGTAGTAATGTTTCCATCACTAATCGAACGATCGGGAATGAGCGAAGAACAGGAAGACTTGACTAGGGATTTTATATCGGATCTTGTGACGTAAGTAAAGAACGGTTTGTTACTATACAAAGGACGACTATATTTCAACTGACGATTATTCAAAATATTTAGATTTATCGAAACCCATAGCGACAAGTATCTATCCACTCAATACGAGAACGCAACTCCAGAGTATATTCGATTCACTTGGGAATACTAGTAGTCTCGTGGTTGGGAAGCATAGTCGACAGGGCTGATCAACTGACAGAATATCTACTAATGTCTAATGCTGATTGCCGCGGTAAACTTTCCCCGAAAAAAAAAATAATCATTGCGCTCATAACTCGGCATTTCGGGCAACAAGTAATAAATTTAGAATTTTTTATCTTCGTCATTTTCTAGCCACTATAATCTCCTTTCACCCAACATACTTTCTTTCGAATGTGCTGTTATAGTACCTAAAATATAATGATTACAAAAGAAGAAAGAGAAGTAAAAAAATAAAATAAAATAAAAGAAACAAGATGAAGTAAAGATAAACACAAAAGGCGACATCGATCTACTGATACTCGGTTTCAAAATAATAATAGAATTATGTATTCAACCATACTTTTTTTTTATGTATTTTTGCCCCAAAGGTAAAGAAAAAATGTCTTTCGCAAAGATAAACGCCTTTAATGTTTAGGATAAGTTTGCTACATCAATAAAAGGCTTTCCACTAAAGAAAAAAAAAATTCTACAATGAGATTATACAATCTCAGTTACTATTACTACAAGACATACAAGAGTGTGCTAGAGACACAACAAAAGAGACTATCTTCATTTTCTCCCCTTTCCCCACTACATATATATGATCAAGTCTCTTCAAAACATTGCCGATTTTCTCCTATCGTTAGCCGACTTGCTACGACGTTCGGCAGCAGCCGCCAACAGCTTGCTAGCAGCCTTGCGCCGAATGCGAGTGGCAAAGTTCTTCGCCATGTCTGGCCCCTTTGGCTGACGGATCGGGACGACGGTATCCGGATGAACTTTCATTGGTCCACCAAAAACGCTGCGGATAAGGGAAAATTTTTTTAAGAATACGTTAATTGGGGATGCAAGGGTGGAAATGTTGAACGAATTCGTAAACCCTACACGCAAAATCCACATTTTGATCTCTTCGCCAAAATATCTTACCTTCTACGCCTCTGATCTTTTGAAGCAGCCGGCATAGTAGAGGATCTTGGAGTGTGCGATGTTCTGGTAGGTGTCTGCGGTAGATACTCTTGTGGATAATCGTAATAGTAAAAACCATATTGGCTCTCCTCAAACTCGTCGCCTTCGTACGGCACTCCATAGAAATCACAGAAATCCGCGTTCGGGTATCCTTCCGACGGATAAAGTCCTGGAGTAGGCGGAGAGGATCCTTGCGAATCAGAGTCGTCTGGATGACTTAATACGACAACAGGCGTACCTGAACCCATTTCATATTGACGATAGTTATTCGCCACATGTCGAATGGGAGCAGGTGATGCACTATACCTACGCAGTCTGGGTGATTCCAAGCTCTGCATATAAACTTGATCGTACATGTATGCATACGCAGGTTGAGGAAGGATCTGAGAAACGCGAAAAGGGACACGGAGATCCTTTGGAAAGCCCGAGGATTGCTTTGCGAAGGTGGCTGTTTTGGGGGGTTGAGGGAGATTTAATGCACGATTTACCTTTGGAGGGAAGGTAGCCGTCTGAGGAACCCTGCCAAGATTGGAAACCTGAGAAGATTTAGACAAGTTTAATGGTTTTGGGGTAGGCCTGGATGTGCCATTTGATTTTTTTGTTGTCGTATTCCTGGTTTGAGATTGAGCAGTCATCTTGGGCGGACTTCTAGACAGATTGTTGGAGTACGTCTTTGGAGGAGACCTGGAGACGTACATTGGCTGTTGTGAGGAAGAAGACCTGGACGGAGTGATGAGGTCAGGATGAGATGAGTTGCTCTGGAAAGCATGTCGCGGTGAGAGAGGGGGAACATACATTTGTTGAGATGTTCTTTGAAACTGAGCAGTTTTGGGAGTCCTTGAGGAAATGTATTCTTTAAAACCAGGCAACGTAGCAGTTCGTGAACCTGAAGAGTCCATTGCGACAATTATTTTACTTTGTTTCTTAAATTTGATTTTTTTTTTTTTTGTTCGCTTTCAAATGTGTCTTGTTATAGATACTAATTACAGTGCAAGTGTGCGAAGAAACAATAGCAATAGCAGCGATCGATAGAACAAAGCTGTAGCAATATGCAATACTTTATGTTGAGCGAAACGAGTGACCGGGATACCTAGAGCAATATAGGACCAGCCAGTGGCCCACTTGTTCCAGTGAGATTGGAGGCAAGAGGAGAAAAGAGAAATTCTGGCTAGAGACCCGTTCCTTAATGGACAACACTTTTGGGAATATAGTTGGGATGGGCTGAGTGGAATCGGAGATGGAAGGTGTGACAAAATGCGATTAGCAGAGAAAAGGAGGGAGATTGGGAGGGGGGAAATATCAAATATTGTCTATATAAATTATATTAACAATATAATATGAGAATAAGAGTAGTAATAATAGTAGTAATGGTAAGTAATAACAAACACAAGAGACAGATATACAAATACAGTACAGATGCAGATACAGATACAGAGAACACACAAACTCTCTCACATACACACACTCTCACACACATTGGGGAAGGGGGATGGGGGGAGGACAATATTTATTTATTATCGGAACAATTAATATTGTAATCAACGCCGTTTTTTCCACAAATACCAATGTTCTGGTGGGGATAACAAATAAATAAGGATAAAATCAATGAAAAAACAAACAAAATGACGAGCAAGTAGAAAGTCTTCAATCAGCAAACACCATTATAATAGCGACATTCGTATATGTTCTTTATAAGGAAATAAGTCATCAGTGTAAGTCATACGGGGATACTAATTCCGTACAGCCGAAAAGCATAAGAGTGAGAGGAACATATTAATATGGTTCGTCAACCAAGTATCATGATTATATTCCACAATGAAAGAAATGCTTTGTTCTCGGTCGAGATTACAAATTCCATAATATCATTGCTTTGTATTACGCTGTCATAAAGTCTATTAGAAATTCATTAAGCTAAACGGGGCTAAGAATAATGGACAATGTCTATTCGCATACAAAGATACTTGTACATCTTATGACGCGCTCACCCAACTCCCGGCATCCTCTTTTGGTAATTTATTAATATTGTCAAAAATGGGGTCGATGCAGAGTAACAAAATGCACGAGTAATACTAATACTAATAGTATATACTTGAGCTTTGTGGTACTCACAGTTATTAACGTTAGTATTAGTGTATTAGCACAATAGAATCCGTTTCTCGGAGAGAAAACTGGTCTATAAAATTGAGAAAAAAGGCACATTAGTATACGCTGTGAAACGGTTTAGACGGGTTGACATTTAAATATCATCAATTCTCTACCTATTCTTTTATTCGGCATGCCAACACCAATTATCATTAGTGTCATCTCCAAATAAGCATCGTCCTTGTTTAACGTAAAATGGACCAATTGAACTTTAAATTAAGGGATTTTGAAGGGATTGGTTGTTGGGCACTGGTAACAATTCTATGCGGGCGCTTTTTCTTTTACGCTTGGCTAATATCGAAGGAAACAATAGGTCGATGACAGACTCCCAGCCTGGCCTTGTAATATGATGTTTGATTTCAAATTGAAATTTCTACTGACAATTCGCGCGCTATATACAATGAAATGTGTGTCAGTCATTAATTGTGTGATCCAAAAACTATCGGTTATCCCACTATTATGGAAGCGGCAAAAAGAATATCGGATGGTGTGTGACGAAGTTTAAGGTTTGATAATCGACTTTTATCTCGTTAGCAAATTTGAAGCATAAAGAGTTATTTTTAGATAATCAAGGATGTTCACGCTCCCCCCACTTAAGGTTTGAATGGCTAACCTTGCTATTTCTAAACCACTTATTGGTGTTTTTCATTTGGTCTATTCGCCATAGCTATACGAGAAAAGAAACTTTGTAACGGTGGAGAATGTTAGCGTTCTAAAAAAGTCCTTCGAATCTTATAATTGATTTGAATGCTATTCGAAATTGAATGGTTACAATCAATGGCAACAAAGACAAAGCCTTTTACATCCTCGCTTTTTCGACCAAGGTCTGGAACTGGCTACTGCTACCGAGTCGTCTCATCTGACTCTGCTTAGGTATTACTATTAATATTAATATTATGTAATATTATGTTGAAAAATAAAGTTTGTTGATTTTTGGAGGTACAAAGAAAGAAAGCGTCATGTGACAACATGCATATTTTATACCAACAATCTTTACGCGGAAAAATTGCTATCCATATGAGTTGAGACTCATGTGAATAGTCTCAGAATAACAATTAACTTGGCAGTCTCGTCCATAACAGCAAAGTTAAACAAATCATTGCAATCAACAAATGCGTCTGCTTTCAAAAAGACTTTTTAACATGGTCACGCTTCTTTGTGATCACCATAATTAACTCTTTTATTGTTGGCAGATAGAGACAACTTTCGTGAGAATAGCACACACTATAATTAACGTTCAATAAACTCACAATTATACTTCACTTGTTCGTATCCATTATTAATTCTTAACATTTTCTCACAATACGCTTAGCCTTCTCCAAAGAGAAAAACTATCTTTATAAAAATTGTGTGTTCTCTCGTAACCGTACCCATACACGAATAAATTAATATTCTCATGGGATTACATAAAAAGACTTTGCATGTTTATTACACGTTATATTCATTGGACAAGGTTATAACAATAACGAACACTATTACCATGTGATTATATTAATGCACAACTAATAAATATGGGTAACCCATTACAGAAATTAACCATGTTGGGTAAATTTTAATGGAAGTAAAAAATTAATCACTAAATTCCGTCATTGTCAAGCTCTGATAAGTCTTTTACATGAGAAATGCTAACTGTTAGCAAATACGAGAGTACGGTTAATGCGGCGTGGATGATTTTTCATCCTTGATTTGTTGCGCACTTTTGCACTGTCACGCAAGTCTTTAATAAGCTCATTTTAAACAAATAGTAATAGGTAAACCTGATATCAATATAGACTTATGAAGAAATTATTGAAAATCGATAATCACTTTGCTAATAAACGCGCGTGCACTCCTACTCTCGGGACATTGTAGTCATTTCGTTAAAATAGGTGCCAGTTGTAGGTCAGCACGATCGATTCATCGTTTCGGAAAAATTAAGTAGTTTTTGCAGTCATTTTATCAAGCGGCTAAAGTCCAAATGTTCGCTCATATACATAGTGCGCGTTTTGAGATTAAATCTTTACAACTCAAAGACAAGAGTACGGTTCATGGTATTAGTATTAGCTCATTGTAATGTTAACATATTCAAGTTTCTGAACATATTCTTGTTATTTTAATCTTTATAGATAAATCTTCCAAACCTCTATTACTATTCAATATGCTTATCCAATTAAACTTCATAATGTTGCTTTCTCTTAAAGAAAGCCTTGTATTTCCTTTTTCTGATTAATGACAACTTTCCCCAATATGAGAAATATTCCTAATACTAATTGTAAGTGCTCTAATATTTTAACTACCCGCGTATATTATACATATGACCTTTGTTTATACAGCAAAAAGATATAACATCCAGTTAATTTGCCACTATACCATTTCAATAACAGTTATAATTATTATTATGCAAATTGCCAGTGTTTATCACAGTAAAGTATTTATTATATACATTTTAAAGAAAATTATGTATACATAGCAAGCTTATTATTAATTAGAGTTCCTGAAATTGACAAAGATTTTTGTAAACGGTCTTAATTAAACAGATTACAATCAAGATAACCGCCAAAGCTTACCGATTCTATTAGTTTTTGTTGTAGAAACTCCTCAACCTGTTTGTCATCTCGAGTCAGTATAAGGGTGCAAGTATCATAAAGCCACTAAATGCGAATCAACGAAAAAACTCACCTGCTGTAACTCTTTTACCATATTAATTAGATCCGTCTCTAACCCTCGTTGCCGTTGTTTCTTAGCCTTTAGTTCGACTTTTAGGTTTTTATTATCACTTTCCACTTTATCAAGTTCTTCCAGTAACCTAGCCTTTTCTTGTAAGCGAGCTTCCACAGCTTTCGATCGAACTCTCACTGCTGGAGAAAGGTGGGTGCCTCTGTGGTAATGTGAATTTATTCATAATAAGCATATCACGTAACAAGCGGACCTTACAATCAGTGCACTTACACTGTGGGGCCCGATGGTGCACGTCCATTCCGTTTGTTTTCGATTGCTTCGTTTATCAACGTATCCAGCTCGTTGAGCTTCGCCACTACGTCGTACTTTTCTATTATTGCATCGAACTCTTGCTGTGAGATAGGGTGCAATTCATAAAGAATTAGAAGAGATACATCCTCCCCTCCCCCCGCATTTGACAAACGGTTTCGAACAAAGCCTATTTACATGCCTCAGCACTCTTTCTGATAAATTCAACCGTCTGCTCGTGTGCTGCTTGTAGGTTATCTGGAGCCTTCTCTGCCAGTGCCGGAAAAGCACTCGCTAACTTGGGATAACTATTATCACAGTATATAAGTTGGGAAAGAAGTTAAACCATGCAGTTGGTATAGGAAAAGACGCTTCCAAAAAATGTTAGTATTTACTCAGGCCAACAGTTTCATACGAGAAAAGCCTGAACTCGGCGATTAGTCTACCTGGAATCTTTTAATGTGTTGACTAATCCTCGCTGAAAAGCCCCTTTCAGGCGTTTAACGCGCGATCCCTCCTGCTGCAATTTATCTGACTGCATTTGTTGTGGTTGTCGTCGTTTGGACATGATTGTGAAAATAGAATTGTGTATAGATGACAAGTGTATATGCTATAAAGGTCGAGAACGGAGTGTGGTCCCAGTATTAATATCGCTACTTTGATCTTACTAAGCTTTGGTAAAAAAAAGATGCTTAATGTTAGTCGCGTTATGTTACAAAAACAGAGTAACATTGCATCAACCAATCATGTGTATGATGATCATCAGATCAGGTAAGTATTTGGCACATGACACACGATTTTAATATACGTGCTGCAACACTTCCTAATTTTCAATCAAGGTCACTTTCCAACCTCAATTTGAGCATTCTGTTGAGAACTCAATTTTTCTTTTTTTGATTTTACTTTCTAATTGAGAAGTGAAAGACTAAGACTAGTACTAGGCAATTAAAACTGACCTTCAGAAGCGCGTGAACATGTTTACAGAGGAGTGGCTCAAGAGGAGTGAAGACTTGCGGCAAGCGAGGGCGAACGCTTAGCCAGGTAACGACTTTGTGACTCGGTCGTTGGGGACATAGAGTAGTGTGTACGTAGCTGGAGCTGAGTTATTTTACTTGTGAGGCTCATACTGCATATCCTATGATTAACTTGTGTCTTGGTTTTTCTAGTTCCAGTCACCAAACGCGAAATCCAAGAGTACACTTATGCAGAAAATGAACAGATTTATAATTGTTCACTCCTGGAGTGAAAATATCGTTGCATAATATGTGAAGGACCTCTCGTTTGTTTTTTTTGTTGTACAATAAAGTTATCAAGTTGTTGTCCCAGCTCGTCTCTAATGCGTTGGGCAAGCTCAATGTGTGCATTTCCACTTGTCTAATTCTGTGCGGGTTGTCTCAAATGCTTCCCGAAGGGTAACCGGTTTCATCTTTGCCAAGTGGAGCTTTGGATAATTTAAGCAACCGACGACCATAGTCTTCTTCAAGAACTGCCCTGTTGTTTTGAGTTTGTTAAAAAGAACGAAGTATGAATTAGAATCCAAATCTGTTGTTAGCCGAATCATAACCCCACATCACTTATAGCTTGGCTTAGACGATTCGAGAGATGTCAATTGCTACTATAGAATCAAAATAGATCCGCTTATTTGCGTGTACCAACCTTTCATAAAACATTGTCTTTAGTTCCTCACATGTCTGCCGTGCCTCTCTAAGACGTGTTACAAGGGCTTCATAGCCTTCCCTATTCATCAAAAAGTATTAACGTTATATCAATGATCCACTATTCATGGGAAAAACCTAATTCATACTTTATTAGTGCTCAAGACATACCCAAAAATGATTGGCGAATATCTCAGGTAGAGCGTCTACTTCGTTCTGCGCCATAATTACGTCTCGAATGAAAAAAGCGAAGAGGTTCAAAGAAACATTCTTCCGGTAGATAGAGTAAGCAGATGTCGTAATCCAATTGTAAAACGCGGCGCAGTGATAAATATAATAAAAAATACATACATCGGTTGATCCCACTAACCTATTTTTAGGTTAAAAGATAAACACATTGGTACGTCCAATTTGTTCTACCATTATTATTATAGTCAATTTTAGCTTATTATTATCACATTTTAATTTATGTTGACGTAAAAGGAAAACGAATGTATCCAATCACAAATAAAGTTAGATAGATATTTACATAACAATAATAATGATAAGATCTATATTGTCGAGAGCACACTTCCGGATTATAAAGCTGGAAGCAGGGACAGAGCCCTAATGAAGGAAATGATATAAGTCTGGAAGAAATGAACACACACATCGTATTATATGTTTACAGCGAACAATCGCACGATTAATAATTGGTTATAAATACTTGTTCTATAATGCCATATAATTCTTTGACAATATGTCAATGCTTATGTTACAATTAAAATAACTAATTACGCAATATTACTTCAAAAAGGAAAAGATGGGGTTTCCGCAAGAATTGATTTGGTTCACGTTCTCATGAGTAAAAAAAAAGCTTGGAATATAGTGTTCTCTTTTTAAACTCTGTAACTTGGATAATAATAACAAATATTGTATAATTCTAGCTACGGTAAAGAACAAGCTGATGTTAACAAATATAACAAATATTTTATAAACTCCAGTGACCATCACGTCTTGATTTAACAGGTTGGGTTATTTTCTAATTCCGTCGGATATTTTCGAACTCTCGTCTCCTTTGACCGAACTACAGATCTATTGATTCGTCTCATTAATTTGTTATTTCGTATTACAATCTGAGCAGGTATTTTGGGAAATAAGGGTATGAACTGTCATCTGATACATACGTCAAAGATAACCATCATTCGAAGAATGGCTCTATACTAATGCCGACCAGCATTAGACAGGCTCAGCTGAAGAAATCTTTTGTCGGGTAACATGTTCAAGAAGCAAAGCGTCATCTGTGTACTTACACAACAAAAACGTAAATATAAAATCATTTTTGTCACGTCGTAAAATTATTATATTATTTAGTGACAACCAGAGTGCAAACCACTTTTATATTCGTGGCGAGTTTTACACTGCAATTCCGTAACAATTGTTTTCCTAGAGTATGTTTGTCAGTTGCATCAATGTCCAACCACCCTGAATTTCGAATAGCATTCCAGGATTTGTATCAGTCTTCATTATCTTGGCAGGGTTAGAGTGGCCTTCAACCCAATCAATTCAGGTGTAAAAAATGTCGTCTCATAAATTTAAATTTAGTATATTATAAATGTTCTCCAATATTCAGTCCAGTTGAAGTGGAGATGATAAATAAAAAAAAAGGATTACTATTTGCTTCAGTCACAATAAACTCTACTTACACGTCAACAAGAACTTTCTCGCAACATAGTCAAAACAAAGTGCTTCTTAACTTGGAGCTTAGTTCTGAATTTATCTTCGATCGCTTAAATGGCAATAAGATATTTTTCCAAAACGGGTGTCCATACTAACAGCACGCTCCTCCCCAATTTCTAAGAGATTTCTTTACCGAAGACGCGTACAACAGATATATTTAGAAGCAAAATACTTGCATCAGTTAGTACTAAGAAATAAAAGTAGAGAACTTACTGTCTAACTTCCCTTCGTAGCTGTCACTTGTTACATCAGTTTGAATTAATGGCGTTTGTTTTTATAGTAACCTCATGTGCTCAGACCCGATTTGTTAAGTTTAGACAAATTTCATTTCTTCCTTTTGACAATAAACAAAATTATTTCAAACACATATTGTGTGACAATTTAGCTACAGTACCCAGACAAAAGTGAGTGTCACTACGAACTTTCGCCGCCAATAGTCGCTCATATGTAAAGTAAGCGTTTTACTAATACAGCTAGTCTTGGTAAAATAAGTAATAGTAAACTTGTTTCGTTTAATTCACTATCATCATGCCCATTTCATTATAAGGGACTGTTTTTCTTTGGTATTAATTATTATTATAGTGAAACAGCTGATGTTTAAAACAGTGGTGGCAAAATCTTTTTATGCTGTTGGAAAAACTGATTTCATAACTTTGAAGCAGATACATGAACAACTTTATGTAATCTTTTGTAAAATTTCTTGACTTCGCACGTGTATGCACAACGCTATGACATAAATCACGCTATCGATAGCCAATTACATGCGATCATCTCGCGTGCTATAACCAGAATTCCACCGTTACGATACGCGTCCTATTGAAAAACAAAATAATTTTCGGTTGAGCTGTGATTTATTATACTGCCTTCTGTTATTTAGGACATCAACGTCTACTATGTCGAAATACTCAGTTCAAAGCACTAAAGTGATTCCATCTGCCGCTTGGCCGTGCCCCCCTCCGATCGGCGTTTTCATTCGCGACAATGCCGGCGCGACATGGCACGACTGGCTGAACCTGCTGGATGCTCTGGAAGCTGATCTCGAAGAAATGGATTTCGGGGATGAGAATTGGAAAAAAACACAGATCAAACTCAAGAATGCACGTACGGTAAGGGGTTATTCATTTCAGCTGTCTGCTGAGTCGCGTGAAGCACTGTCGTATCGACAGTGGGGGATATTCGTTTCTTCTGGGAAGAAGTGATGACTCCTGGCGGGGTAGTTCAATCACATAATAGAATGAGTTGCACCCGTCCAGGCAGAGTGCCTCGTCATATCTGTCCGATCATGAGGTGCTGTGAATTACCTCTGGTCCGCTCAGCAGATTGGTTGTGGGGGAGGGGAATATTCGTTTCTTCTGGGAAGAAGTGATGACTCCTGGCGGGGTAGTTCAATCACATAATAGAATGAGTTGCACCCGTCCAGGCAGAGTGCCCCGTCATATCTGCCCATAGCATGTCCCCTGTACAGCCGTTCTCAATATTACGAGTTCTCCATTTTAAAATGATTGTATACTCATTCACTTTTTCATCCTATACTTCTTATCCAAGTTGTACGATGTCTTCCAAGCGGAACTCGAGAAGAACGAAAAGGTAATGAGCATCTGCGTTTCCCGCATGTCTTCCTGGTCTGGTGGTGCATGCGATCTATGATTCATTACCTATTGGTAGTGCATTGAGAAGATGTTGTCGGCACATGGCAGTATGGCCAATGCCCAAGACAAAGGCTTCCAGGTGCAGCAAGACTTGTTCGGAAACCTGTTGGGAAAAAGGAGTGCTGATGTCTTGGATAGCGGCCGCGGTGGGAGGAGTTTGCGCCAGGTGCGCCAACGAGCGATGGGTTCACCGTCTCCTTTTTTCAGTCCCGGAGATGAGGAAACGGTGGAAGGAGATGATGAGGAAGAGGTGGAAGAAGATGATGGTGAAAGTCCCATTCCGATGCCATTGCTAGTGGACATACCGTCTAACTATGAACTGGTGCCACCTGCCAGCTGCGTTCTCGCAGACGGTTTCGACATTGCCAAGGTCTTTTTCAAATATCAACGGCATGCGCTGGCCTTGGCGAGGCAGCACAAGCTGCAGCTGGAGACCAACGTGCAGGAGATCCTTGCGCTGTCGCACACGCTGCTTATCAAACCAGAGCAGCATACCCCGGAGATGCTGTGCCACTTTGAAGAAGAACGCCTCGACCACATCCACGCGATCGGGCTAGAGACAGTGGATTATCAGTCCCGTCCTCTCTCGCAAGACCTCGAAGCCTTGATGCGAAACGTCTCCAAGCGGGCTCGAGCATCAGGGAAATTTGACCGAGCTCTGCAGACTGAACTCCTGACAAACATCATGGACAAAGAGCCAGAGTCGACGGACGCATTGATCCTGTATTTGTGGCTGGACATCATGAGAAAGTTTCCCGCTAAGCCGACAAACTTGGAACGAGAATCGGAGGGAGATCTGGTAACCTCCTACCTGGCTCTTGTGATCAATCCCTTCGTCACATCCGGCAAGCAAACGCGCGCGGTTTGGCCCAACACCGCATCCACCGTTGCGCACAAGCAGAAGACAGTGGGACGTGCACGTCAGCCAGACTTCAAACTGGCCTATGTGCATCAACGCCAGGAAGTGGCTGAATGTGGCTACGGAGAGGTGAAACCGGATTTGAAGGTAGCTGATACCTTTGCGTGCAACCTGGATCTCGTACGGATTGCAAGGCTCGGTAAAGCGTGTCTGGATGACATCGTGAAGAAGGGGGTGAATGGGCCAGTCATTCCACTCTTTCAAGTAACAGGGCATAAGATGTGTATGTATTCCTTCTCACTGTTCGCGGATGGCATCTATCTGATGCTGGAGACGGGATGCGTGTCTCTGCCGATGGCAGTTAGTGAGCTGCTGCCGTTTGTCGACGACCTTGAGCATTTATTGGGATTCCGGGAACTCTGCTCCAATATCACCAATTGCCTGTCCGGGAAGAGGGTGGCAAACGATGACCAAAATAAGCTGCCGAAGTACCTCCGGAAGACTCTGACGACGCCGCAGTTTGAGCAGGTTGTCGATAAGACCAAATCCCGTAAGAGAAAGTCCACTATTCGGCATAATTAGGAGGGCTTCTTTGTATGCACGTTTTTTTTTTCATGGACCCACTGTGATAATGTTGTTGGTATCGAGCCTATTCTTGAAAGTGAGGATTTCGGCGGTGCATTGTTACTATTCCATATAAACTCGATGTATAAAGTATCTAGACGAAGTAATTGACTCTGCAAAGCAAATCGGTGCCGTGAATACTATTCCGACACTCCGATAATAGTGTTAAACGCTTTCGGAGAATATCCTGGACAAAATGAATGTACAGTCCCCCGCCAAAAGTTAGCGAACGCTGAATTCGCTTATAGTAAAAGTCTTTTTTTTTTAATAATGTAATCGGATATATGCCATTAAATGAATGTATTCTCCGTCTACATTTAATTCTAATAAATTGGTAGCCCGGTATTTGAACGACAGGCATACCGTTGCCGAACACATTTTTCACCTAATAAACATTATTTTTTAAAAGACACTCGAGCAAGTATTAATATGCTTTTTTATTTGTGCTTGTGTTTTCCTACGTTTTTGCTTAAGACACTAATACCGGCTTTCTGGAATGTGATGATCTGATTAGGATAGAGATGTGGTGGGTTACATACTACATCTATTGCTGGAACAGTGGCATGGCAGGAGTGTAATACGTATATCTATAATAAAATTTTCAAGAATGCACAAGCGAAAACGTAAGTCAATAAATATACCGAAGCATAAGGGACAAAATCTGTCCTTTGCTCAGAAGCAGGAGATATGTAAATGATATGCCAAAAAGCCACGACCATCTCAAATAGATTTGCTAATGAATATTGCATAAGTCAGAGAAATTATCTGTCTCTAAGACAACTCGCGGTGGTAAGGCTACGCGCGTCCAGATTGCATATTGGACACGATAACCAAGATATCAGAAGTCGTTAGGTTTCATATCAGATCCAAACGAGCACGATTGACGTATACCGTAATTAGAGATTCGCGAACGACTTTATTATTATTATTATTATTATTATTATTATTATTATTATTATTTGTTGTTTAATTAGAGAAAAAGTGACGTTAGTTGACTAATCAAACCCCTAAATCGAAGATCGCCCTTATTAATTTAGTAATCGATTCTGCGTAATTATAATTGTTGTTATTATAATTTCGTAGGTACCCTTATCAAGATACGAGCAACGATGATTTGCATTAAAAAGAGTCACTTATAACTATAATCTCAGCCTTAGTTGAGCAATCGTTATAGTAAGGGCAGCGATACGAGCTAAAGTGTGAAAACTTCCCTCTCGGCAGAACACGTGCCACGCAAATCATTTGCTCTCATTAAAATTCGAACGCCGACCGTAACAATACTTGGCTGATTCTGTTATTCACTTTGCTGCCACATTGGCTGTTGCATGTCACCATGTTGATTCTGACTCTGGTTAGTCTCATATCTTGTTAACTGACTTTCGTCATATACTCGTTGGTAAGAGACTCAAACAGACAAAGTAAGTTCTTGGGAGCTACTTTTGCTCTCCATAGTAGGGATTTACTAAACAGTATGCTCATAAAAAGTAAGTCTAGTCTCAAATTGATAAAGCGTCATCAAATTCTCTATGTCGAGATTTCGAGCACGGTTGCAGATTATTCCACACTAATAACAATTACACAAATTAAGATTATTATCTTTTCTTGCATGGCGTTAAATATGTCACATGATGCACTACCGTTTCCGATAATAAAGGCTAATATATTCATCCGGGATAGATTAAGATTTGTTGCTCTACCCGTTTTCGCTGTCTTTTTACAATATCTATCAGAGGAAGAATATATCACTGCCTATACTGCTATCCATGACTGGAAGCGCGATCGAAAAGTATTGTTAAAGAAAGCAGAAGATACTGTCAGTATCTAAGCGCGGACAGGATACGCTTTACTGTAGGTGAAGCACCGCGGAACCTTGGGCAAGGCCAGCTAGTATACAGTGAAAAGGATTCAAAGTGTATTACGTTTGATATTGTCATACCCTAGGTTACAGTGTGTCAAAAAAAAACCCCCGTAATTTTTCTTTTCTAATATAAAAAATATGACAGAATTAGATAAAAGTTTGCAAATATATGTATTTTTATGCAAGAAACAAATTTACTTATGGCAATTTAATGAGTCGTCTTATTAAAATGTTGTCCAATTTCAAAAATTTAAAACTTAAAAAATTTTGTTATTACTTGTATAATACAAAAAATAACCATTGTTTTTACATAAAAATTTTCAAACATGTTCTCCATGTTGTTACAAACAAGTTTACTTAAAATTATTTAATTAAATACCTTAATAAAATTTTTTATAAAAGATGTGTTTGTTGTTTTTTTACTTATAATCACTTTTTCAATATTTCTTTCCAAAATTAATTTATAAATTAAGAAAGTTTTTAATAAAATAGTCTATTAACTGTCCTTAAGTAAATTTGTTCTTTATATTATAAAAATATAATTATAGATTCTGGACAATTTGGCTTTTTTTTCCATCACACAATAGACTAAAATATAATTCCGGTTTTTTTTTGACACACTGTATATTATTGGACTAACTCTGATACCTGTCTTCGGCCAGGGCCAGCATTTGCTGTGAATGAGTCTAAACTAAAAAATTTATTTCTTTGCCGAAAATTTTATAAATATATAAAAACAAACGTAAAATTTAGTAGTAAATTATATTTATGAGATCCGACTTGGAAGAATGGGCGGACGAATAATCGGAGCAACATACTAATACATGTGTATAATTTTAAATTTAAATTATTACGTCAGCGAGTGGAATATTAGCCAGAATTAATTTATTCTCCATGTTTGGTAAAATTACGGAATAATAAGAATTGATAATATATCTCTTAGTGAGACGAATTTTATAAGAAGAGGAGACACCGCTGAACAATAATTATTGGAAGATGGGTGGCAGATTTCGATACTGGCAAAAGTCAGACCCGACAGCGCTGTTTAAAAGACGCGTCCGTGCATAGTCACTATGCGGTTGGAAGAATATGAATTGGGAAAACCATCAGTGTACAAATATCTATTTGGAAACTGGTTTAAAGTACGTGGAATAACATTTGCGTTTTTGGAAGGATTGGAAACTCCGAAGATAACAACGACTATTATTCATACATCAGCTTACGATAGGAAGAGGAACCAATCTAGATATTCGCAGTGATACAGTAACGAAATCAGTGACAAAACGTCTAAATTATGTACGACAGAATATAATTATCACGACTTGCTCTCATAATCTTATACGCGGAATATTCTTAGGAAGCAAATAGAGATGACGCTTTATTAAGACAGGAGTATTAACTCATGGGACTAAGACGACTACTCCAACTACTACTACTCCTACTACTCCTACTACTCCTACTCCGACATGCACCCCCCCCTCTCCTGCCTTTATCTTCAGCTAGAGTCAAGATATGACGACGATTAGCAATCCCAAAGCAAATTAAACTCTTACTTGATTACAACCTCTAGATTATCATTTCCTAAATTACCCATGCCACATATCAATGGATTCTTGGACAACACCACTTTCGACTACCTCTCAACGATCGAAGATTACGAAACCATTTTATCTTTGGAAGAGAAGAACAAAAGCTGTGGCGAAAGGAGAGTTCATCGACATCGAACAATCACCTGAAGAAGAAGACATCACAGCCTTCCTTCACCTTAGATCCACGCGATACTGGATTGTCCCGTACAGCACGACATTTTCGCGGTTATCTCCAAGAAGAGCGGCCTCCCTGTCTGTAGGACTACCCGAAGAAAAGTCCATGACCACCTCCAAGAAAAGGCCGAAAGGGATGAAAACTTTACCCTCCCGTACGATGGAGCTTACGCAAAATACGTTCAGTGGAAATATGGTCTTCCGGCCATCTCACCGCGCAGATCTTCGGAGGAGGAGCATTGTTTACAGATATTCTCATCAGCAACTGAAAAACAACTCTTGATAAAATCAAACACTTACCCGATAACCAATGCAGATCAATGGACAACAGCTCACTCCAGAAATTTTCATCGAGCTCATTAGCTCGAAGAATTGGCAGATCCAAGCCAATGAACAATATTACGCCGCTACCAGAGAAGAGCAAGGCCAAAGGCTCACCATCTGGGCGTACCGCCATGAAATCTACAACTACCTCGAGGCCTACTGGCCAAGAAGAATCAATACAGTCCAGTATCAAGCCTTATCATGCAAGGACTGATCCCATTTATTGTTGGGGACGACAAAGAATACAAGCTACGGTTGAATCGTGCGACATACTAGTACATAAATCTAGGTTCTCATCAAACGATGTGTCGATATCTACGAGATGAAATTATTAGGCGTGTCACTTATAGTGCAATCAATAATATAAATAAAGATGATTTATAAATACTGTATGTCTGGATCCCCATTTGCTTAACGGAAATATGATGATTAAGATTGCAGCCAGCGTGCCTATTCAGAAAAGACATGAATTCACTTTGTAAACTGCGGTATCTGCCATTTAACAGTATTTGTCTGATCGAAAATCTATGTTTCAGCTAGGAAGAATCGAATAATCGCATATTCAATTGACAAACACCGATACTCAGATCCTAACCAAAGCATCTCATTATTATTCATATATATATATATATAATACAGATTACGGTTCGAGCGGTCTGTCCAAACGATCGCTCGATCTATGTGATTCCGTGGACGCATCAATCGACGTCTCGACAAACGTCAACAAGCGTTTTAAATCATGTTTGACACTATCTAACCCCCCAATTCTGCTCTCTTCGAAAGCAGATTCAATTATTCCTTTTGTCGCAAGATTGAACAGCACCCCATTTGATTGCATTTCTGTTAACAAAGCGTCCATTCCCTGTACATCTTTCCAGAAATCCCATCTTATCTTCAATATCTCATTATACACGAGAGTGTCACATCCGACAACATATGATTCAAGACCCTGTCGCTTGGCCTGTTCGAATATGGACAGCGCCATATACGGGTCTCTGAACACATTGCGGCAATGTGCGATAGACGCTTTAAGAAGATCAGGGTAACCAGGAGGAAATGTTTTCGGAGCAAATGGATCTCCCTCGTATGGCGACCTTCCCACTGCTCCACGCTTAAATATCTTCGCCCATACAAATACCCTAAAGTCATAATTAGTATTACATTTTGAAAGATCTTCAATCATCTTGTCTAACTTGATCTGCTCATCGGCATTCATGGACACTGAACCGATCCAATGCGTCCTATGTCTCGAAGCATGTGTAGCCGGTATTCCTTCAAAAGTTTTCCTAAACCACGCCGCACTTTTTGCGAGATTATTCAAACGCTCTTCAGAAGCGGCATTACTTGCTTTCGGTCGAACATGAGATTCTGACTGAGCCACTGATTCGTTATTCTCTATCAAATAAAGTAAATGTCTCTCAATGGCCGGCAATCCCGCCTCTTTCTCGGTTTTTTGTGCCTGCGCTAATTTTGGTTTACTGAACAGTGTCGAAAATATATTATTAAACGATTCCATTTCTTCAGAAGACAATATTCGTTTGTATTTAGACCCGTGCGGCGTGCCGCCTTTGCGTAATACTGGTTTGGATTTCAAACTTGGTTCAGATATCTGAGGTCCGGTATCTTCAAATAGAAATCCCCAATCATCTCTGGATTTGCCACTGGAGCGTGAATAGCGACCTGATGCCGTGTTGGTCGCTTCGCCTGCTATGTCATTAGATCGGTTGGTCGACAGATAAGCTGTTCCTTTAGGCACCAAAGCTATCCTAGCTGATCAATTGAAGAATCAGCGTGAAGTTATATTTTGATCCCTGCATCAAGCTAAAAAGTGGAGTTTGAACCTCACCATTTCGTATTTGGTTGGCAAATCGATTCGCCAACATGTTTAAATTGCAGACAAAGTTAAAAAGATTAAATTCCAAATAAATGTACGGTTACGTTTTTGATAGATCGGCAAGAACACCAAATTATCTCAACAAATTGATGTGTCACGTTTTCACTGATACCCTGAGGTTTAACCGCTTTCAAACATAGCTTTTTTCCGCAACCATTCCCCAGGACCGTATTCTCTACACCCATTACGTTAGTCTAGTATAAAGTACAGTTAGACTTTTACCAATGCCCCTGTTTATACTAGATAAATAATAAAAGTAGGCATACTATGTATTTATCACTATAGATCTTAATATGTGTCATTTAATTACGTACTATGATTAAGATCTTATTGTCGCAAGTGCATCTTTAGCGTTCACTCGTAGATGCAGACAATAAAAACCCAGGACTGTATTTTGCTAGCAATACAATGCATTTGAAATGTATTGATAATAATTTATTCATTAACTAAAATTATATCGTAATACTAATGATAATGAAATCTCTAATATAAAAACCGTTAAATTTTTATTATTTCCGAAGCTAAGTATTCGAGCGTCATTAATATCTATTCAAATATATAATGTCGGAGTATCCTTCTGAAGATGACTGCTACCGCTATACATGGCTATCCAGATTTGGTCGAAAAATGCTAGCACCAGGATATTAATGTTGAGAATTTCAATATCACTAATATTAATATTACCATATGTACTTATAATAAGCAATAATCGAGAAATAGCGCGCGTAAATCTTTCGTCAAAAATTTCACGTTGTTGTTTTCGATTCAACGATATTATTCCAGTTTACGGAAGGACTTGGTCGTCATCGGTAGCTTCGATTACATAACCATTAGAAACTTGGAATTTTATAAATTCTATACAGCAAACAATATATAAACTTTATTCTATCTTTAATCTGATGCTGTATGACACTCTCGTCAGTAAACTTTTTGACAATGTATAAACATGTTCCATGTTTTCTGTATTAATTATCCGATCGGGTCAAGCAAAAGAATATAACTAAAACAATAGAACCTGTTGAATGTTACACGTTTCAACAGCGCAATCGATATAAATTTTCAATTAGGTTGTAACACTGTACGGTTGTCTACTAGTAAATAAAGCATAGAATAGTTATAACGACAGGATTAGTAACTCTTTGGTCTAATGCTAGTTGACATTGAATTAATGGTCTAACCCCGTAGCAAAATTCAGCCCGATTCGAAATAGACGCATCGTCCAAAGGAAAACTTGTTTATACCGTCCGTCCCATATAATATACCGGTTCTTTACGCATAAAATTTCTCTTTGCATCGTTAATAATTAAATTTTGTATAAAAATAACGAAAATTTGCTGGCTCGTCATGTCATACTTGTTTATTCGCATGCATTATCCGTTCATCCTGATATTAAGTTCGACCAAATTTTTCATGTATATTCGTAGGTGCATCTAATCCTTTTTTATTTTCGCTTCTAGTATCACGTATTGCTCTTATGTACTCGTTGTATCATCTGCCTCAGTCTAACCGTAACATCACAATCAATAAGTATAAGAGACTTTATATCGATCTGTTTATGTGATAATATGTGCTTATTTATAGCTGGGTCGAATCAGGCTAAATTTCGCCACGTTCGGGAAAGTCATAAAACCTGATAGACGCTCACCAGGCAAGTAACGGGAATATTGACTAATTAAAATACCTGTCGAAGCTAGATTTACGTTTAAATTCTCTTCGATTCAACAATTTCTTAATCGTTGTTGTTTAATAATCGTTGGTACCCTTGTTTGAATACGAATAGAAAATAAGTATATATACTGTATAGGTAAGCAGACGAATTTATTAAGTAAATAGATCACTTAATCATCATTGTTGTCACCAAAAAATACTAAACCCTATTTGTTAAATCAACTAATACAATGAGGAACCTTAAACTGGTTTAAAATAAACCTTATCATGATGAGGCAACTCGTTAGACAGTTAATAATAACTTTACGTGTATTATGGAATGACGCCAAAGATTTTGACTTTATTCGATATACACAGTAAAGTCCGGTTCAAGGAAGTGTTCATTACATGAATCTTTGATTGTTTTCTACAATACTTAGTAATGCCGAACTGCATTCTTGTATGTAATTGCAATGTCATGAACAATCGCTCGACTGTCTATCGAAGTAGTTGAATTTGCGCGTCTGGCGTATAAATATTTTTTTACAGTGAAGTTTCAATTCCCTCCCTCATATACAGCCACAGATCATGTTCATAGTATTATACCTCACAATCATATGTCAGTCACTGTGTTACTATTTTACTTTTGTAAAATTTATGGTCTCAGAATTTAATGTTTGTATTTCCGCATTCGGCATAAAGCTACTAAATATGATTGGATGTATGCGTGGAAAAACATGATTGCTTTAGTATTAGGCAATCAGTTCTTCTCACAATGTCCAAAGCATGTAGAACACAAGGATCTAAGATCATTATAGTAAACATTGAATTTGTGTAAATCACTTAACATTACACATTCTGCAGCCCGCATTACTATAGCATCCTGTCACTTCGTTCGCATACAAGAATAAAACTGTTAGTAAGACAGTAGGTAGCAGTTAAATACAGTCGAAGAGTATGTTAATGTGATAGATCTTGCACGTAGTGATATTATCATACGTAAACTTCTAATACCCCAGGAGGTCGATCATGATTGAGCAATTTCCCATCTTTAGCTAATTGATTATCAAACCGATCAGCTTAATTGGTCTTGAACTCTCTCTGCTAGTTGCTTTAGCGCGGATGACGCTAGTTTTAAGCTCGTTACAACAATAAATTTTATTGGACAAGAAAATTGGGAAAGAGATTTTTTTCACATGCATTGCCTTATCCCTTGCATTTAACCAATGGGGTAATCAATTTTCAAAAACTCCTTTCCCCTTCGCATTCATTATAAACTGCCAACGCCCATGGCCCCTCGAGTACCCACCACACGCACTTCACAAACTTCTCCCCCAGCAACACCTCCAAATTCTGTTGTTGTCCGCGATGCTCTAGACTTCTTCGCCCAAGTAAAACAAGAGTGTTCTGCGGAGACTGTGAAACAATTCGTCAAACTAATGCGAGACTACGACAAACAGAAACTCGACGAACAGCAAGTAGTCGAGCGCGTGACTCGGTTATTCTCGCAGTTTCCAAACCTACTTCGTGGCTTTCTTAAATTCCTGCCCGGAAAGTCTTGTGACGCAGTCGCTTACGTCGACAGAGTGAAATCAGAGCTTAGTGGACAACCAGCAGAGTATACTCAGTTTCTCGAAATATTTACAAAAGACTTCCAAGTTCGACCTGATTGCCTGATTGAGGCTGTAGAAAGGCTTGCCATATTGTTCATTGGAAGACAGCATTTAATGGACGGTTTCCTGGCGTTTTTGCCAGCTGGTTTCGGCGTTGTATACGAAGCAACGCCGGACCATAAGTGTGTCATTAGAATATATACTCCGGCCGGACCCGGGAATACGATATATCAAAGAATGGATGATAAGATTTATAAAGTGGCCCCTGTCATGACGGAAAGTCCGGAATCAATGAAGCCATGAGTCTTAGAAGGAACTTATTAATGAAGTTAACGTGGATACATTTAACTAAGGGACGGATTGGAACGGTTTGTTAACTATTGTATACATATCACTCTCACGGGTAATCTTTCGTTCTGAACTTTTATTATCAGTAAGTTACGGTGGTGACAAGGGATTGCTTGAAATTGGTACGAGATATTCCAACATGTATTAAACAACGCTTCTTTTTTTTTGGCAAAGTTTTTATATTCTTTAGATACGGCAATATTTCCAAGTTGCTTTAATAAATTTAAGGGCGTGCGCATTAATACTCTCGGCATAACAATAGGAGGATTTCATCAAAATATCTTTATTGGATGTAGAAAGATCCTGCGTTTGACTCTACAATGATTCTGTAGATCGATCGGTTTTATCGACTAATTCTCGTTCATACTAGCCATCGGCGTTTTTCATATTCTTCGTCAAAAACACCAAAAGATTAGCATGTATAAATTAGACTTTCTGTTTTACTTACGATAATCCGAGAACATTAATGATAGAGATGTACGAGTGTGATGATGTTCATTTGGAAACCGTGTCTTATATCAAAAATACTGTATAAATAGACATAACGCCACACATCCCTTAGTGATTTGAAATTTTATAGCCAACAGCTGTAGATTCAAAGCAAACCACTGTTGTTATTGATTGACAAGTAAGTTTGAAGGCAACAAGGAATTCAATTGCATGTTATGGTGATGAGAACGTAATTAAAATCGTCTTTGTTTTTATCAAAACCAACAGTGGTGTGGCTGAATATTGATAACGTGATTAATAAACACGTGTATCTGTGGCTGATGTACTGCGCCGATGATTTGACACTCTTTGTGTCAGAAATTTTCTAATGATTACCGTCTCTTTGCTGCGTTATAGAATTTTCTGTTTGCGGGAGTGGTACTTTTATATTGACCTTTCAGTCAATCATTCCTAGTTGATTGAGTGCACTTTTTATTCAAAAGTAGGAGATATTCTATATGAATTTCGGGCAATAACGACTTTCGAGGCTGACAGTGGTCGGCTTTCACATCCGTTTATCTCGTGAAATTCGTTGAGCTAAGATAGTTTCTGCTGAATTCGGTAAAGCCTTTCCGAAAGTTGTAAAAGTTACCGAGTAGGCATCAATATGTTTACCTGAATTTGAAACCATCCCGAAGACGTCTTCGTGCTTGATTTCGCTTTCTATCATCCGTGAGCAATTCAGAAGTATACTGACTGAGCTCGGATATGCTCACTTTTTCTGGAATAAAATTATATTCTTTGTTGCAATAGCTGACATGGTAATATTAAATATCGTCCTATTATACCCACCCCTTGTTAGATTACATACATTAAAACAAGACATCAGTGCTGTCAAGTTTAAAAACTCGTTCTTCTTTCACTTTAACATATTTAATGGGATTCTCGGGGGATACAGAACCTTTGCAAAAAATTTCTACTCTATTATTCACATTATTATCACGATAAATAACTTGTATAACAGAAAAAATGGCTTACATCGCGATCAGCGATATGCAAATCGTGTCATAAACTGTTTGAACTTCAGGTGCAAATAATGTCCAGGGTAGTCTGTTGTGAAAGTCACTGAGGTTTGTTCTTCATAAACGTAGAACGTAATAGCCCTGATTAACACGAATGAAATGTTTGAAACGAAATTAACAGCCGTACAATTCCGAAAGTAATCGCCCCTTCCATCTACAATTCTTTGTTTATTTCATATTCTTCATTTCTTAATATTAACCAGAATTTACCGTGTGATTTGTACTCTCCTCTAACAGCCAATTAAAATTTGAGATCAGAGATAACGCAAAATTTGTTCGGTAAATAACAACAAATTTTATTAAACTATAATTATTCCCAAACATTACTTCTTCATGACTTTACTTTCTTTTTTCATTGTTATAATATTAATTAACCGGATATACTTATAAAAACGAGCTCACATAAAAGCTGTAAGGTTTCGGCATAAACGGCTCATTTAAGCAGTAGACCGATATATAAACGCCTTATTCAGGCTGTGAAATATCCGCTGATCAATTACGCAAATAGCGGAACGAGAGTCTATACTATTGAAATTAATTACTTCAGAATTTCATCATCTAACAATTCATAATCAAACACCATGTCCACACAGTATTAGTCGTATTAGTATTATTATATGGAGAGTTCACTGTACTTACTTCCAAACGTATTTGCATTTTTTTTTCTAGGGGGTTGGTTATTTTTTCGTTGATCATAAACTTCACTAATAAACAATCTACCTATTGTTTAGTATCACCCTATTACAATCATTTAATAATAAATTTTTATGTTTCGCATGCATACGTTATGAGTCATAGAAGATAATTCCGGTGTCACTCTGATCTCGAATAATGAAAGCTAGAATTGAATTCGAATTCCTTCTATGACATATGGCATAGGTTACAGTGTAAATTTAATAACAATGCTGTTTTTATTCAGCGGATCGCTAAACTCAGAAAAACGAATATGAACGTTAATCTTGGGCTTCGCTAAGACACCCCCAAAAATGGATGAGCCAATTCGATTAAAATTGAATCCCATATTTATAACATTTAATATAACACATATAACGCCATATTCTATTACAGTATATAACTGGTCGATATAATAATAAAATGATTTCTATTCAGGATTTGCGCGGTTCTAAATGCACCGATGTTGAATGGGATGAATACATAGGCAAACTCGATAAGTCGGACGCGTCGGGGCGGACTCCTGTGTCTGACTTCACGAGATATCTGACTTCATCATAATAAACGTACTTTTATTTGCATGTTATGAGCTAATACAAATTGTTTTAAAATGTAAATATAAGATAATTCAGTTTTATAAAAAGTTTCTAAGGTAGGCTATTTTATAGAAGCGATTCGCTTTCTTTGAATTTGATGCTAAAGGTCTTTCATTCCCGAGATTACCGATGCATTTGTTTTTATATCAGAACTATGTTGTAAATAATCGAATATATTTTGAATGCTATTCAAAACATCCATATTTTAATATTAAATTGCTTATGATTTCTTCTTCTCCTTCTTCTTCTAATGCTTCTTGTACTGCTGCGATTATTTCCTCTTCATCAATCACTTCGGTGCCTTCTATTCTGGCATATAATCGCTTGCTACGATATTGTCAACATTCATTTGGTTGATAAGTAATTGAACTGCATTTTCTTCATCCTCCAATTCATTTTCTAATTCGCACATTTCTTCATCGGGCAGAATACCCGTTCTTTGCCAACAGCAATTATTGGGGAATTATTTGTAGTAGTCTGACTTATCGAGAGTCATTTATTATAATTATAATCTGGTCGACAGGATTGTCCGAGTTACGACTTATCGCGAATTTATACGTGTCGTCCGACTTGGAAACTGAAAAGAATTTATATTTACAGCAAAAGACCAGCAAATCCAAAATCACCTAAACCTTTTACAAAAAAAGGAACATGGCCTTCCGCTGAATACACACAGATAGTATATCCCAATATTAACAAACAAGAACAAAAAACTCCCTAGGATAGCTTTATTATCATCTATCCTTTCCATAATCTCCGTCTCTCAGTTTGTACTTTTTTTGACGATGAAAGGTCTCTGTTGCAAATTGTGCATCTAATATTCCACAGGCCCACTAGACTTCATAATAGTGAAATCATTGACATTAAAGTCTTACCGATAAGTTCTGCTTGCATTTAAAAAACGTGAACACATTGAGTCTTCGTTATGTACCTCCTGTGCAAAGTCAAAATTTGGGACAACCACATCATTTTGTTGAAACGATGTTACTGAGGTATCTTGCGAAACGGAAAAGCAGTGCCACACAGACATTTCTGATGTATCATTTATCTGTAATAAACGGTTGGCAAGCTACGGAGATATGGGTTATTTTGTTGAAGCCAACCTACAGCAGGCTATAAAGAATGATGGTACCAATTGCTGTCATTAGATAAAGTGTCCAAATTTTCGAGAAACGCTCCAAGCATTCCTGAGTAAAGTGTCAGAGTTCTAAGATTTTTGGAACGACAAAGGCGGACTTTCCGAGGGAAGTTCATAGTTGTGGACACCTGGTGGTGGTGTCGATACGTTTTGTAATGGAGATATCGAAAATTTTTAACTATTCAAAAAAAGGGGGCGCTTATTATTATCGAGTGTCGAGTGTTTGCCTATGTGTCACACAATTCGGTAATTGGCCACAGGGGCTAGCATTGTATAGAACGCAAATTTTATATAAAACCCCAATATTATTAGCACCTGAGTTTGGTCGTCGGCGTATATGCTAGTACACTAGCCTCTGCGTAGCTTGCCTATGGGTCACTGTTCCATTTGAATAAGTGTCGATATCTTAGCTATTGTTAGACGCTCATGACGCAAAAGACTTTTTCCAAGGTCATTCAGAAAGTCAAAAAGGAGGTGAGCATCTATTTATTATTGCAAGAAATGAACATTGACCTATTACTATCATGCATAACTGACAAGAGACCTTTTTGCTTCAGCTCCGGGAGCAGGAACAAAAGAAGAATAGGGACCTCATTTTTGACAATATTCAGACGATAATCCGTTTACCTGAGAAATGAATTGAGCAAGGCCAATTGCTCAGAGCTCCAGAAGGAGATATATGAGGAGCTGGTAAAGCTACTCATACAGTCTCAAAATAAAATCCATCACTGTGGGTTCTCCAATGGCCTCAGGGATATTAGACCTCACCAAATGTGGTGACAGGGTCATAGAAAGACTAAAACACATCCAGACGGCTCTTATGGAGCACGATAAACCCGATGAAGTAAGTCTTCCACCTGTGGTAGAGGAAATGTTAGATGCGTTCATGGCATCTCATGCTGAGGTTTTGAGGCCAGTCGAGTTCCCTAAATGTGATATGGATGAGGAGCTTGAGGATGTAGCGTTCACAGCTTACGAGTTGCTGGAGGGCTTGTAAGTGTATATGATATTATGTATTCTGATTTTTATTGATTAACAAGTAATAATGTAATTGGACTTTTATTCGTAAATATTCAATTAATATTAATGTATTTTTATATTATTCACAGGGCTGAACAAGTAAGCCAGTCATCCCGTGAACGTAAAGAGAGGATGGGTGCAACGACAACTGACTTGCAGAGCGGAGGCAGTCAGATTATGCCAAATCGCAGCCGGCCGTGGCCGGCTGATGACAATGGAGATGACAACGTGTGGAATCGGACAATGAGAGTCAGAAGATGATGAAGAAAAAGAAGAACTCAGTGAACTAGTCTTTGCGGAGTTCAAAGCATGTTAGCAACTCATCCGTCAGTGCAAGGACGGGCATTATAGGCTCTCCATGGTGGTGTGGTGTTAGATGGTAGAGATACGTCCTGTGATGGGTGCACAGAAAGTGAGCAAGGCCTTAAACGACATGCCTTGTGAGGCATGTGTGATAAAATAGTTGTTTCAGTAGTAGATACATTTTGTGGTGTATTTTAATTGAGGAGATACTTTAGAGATGTATGTATGTGCCGCCGGCACTGAGACCTCAGATGCCAGAAAACCAAATGGCTCAACAACGTATACGGTATTCTTCCGAAAATAAGCAACTCTATAACAAAAAAGTGTTGCTTATTTTCGGAAGAATACGGTACTCCTTTTCGACGATAAAAAAATAAAAAGAGATTGCATATTACAAGACGAAAGTAAAAAGATCAATTAGCAATTAAAATACTGATATTGTTTGTTACGGTAGAAACTGTTCCGATGGCTTACACTTTATTTATTTGCAGGATTTGAAATCATTCGCCACTATGTTTTGCAATCAATCATACTTGCTCTACCCCAGCCCAGCCATATCCCAGGCATGTATGCACATACATTGCCTATATATTACAAATTACACAAACTAGAACATCCTGAAACGTGGAAAGAAACTATATATTATATACATAATGCTAATGCTAATGATACAGGGGCGGAAGTTGTAGCAATGTTGTTCGAAGAGAGAACAGGCGAGTCTGAGGGACAGCGGAGAAGTTGATTACTTCCAGTCGCACGATTATTATTATATAGCAAGATGCTATAAGCTGCAGTTAAAACAATTGAAGCGAGTCTCGGATGATTACTCTACTACTACCCCAACTATATACAATTACTACGCCACCAGCTGTGTTTCGAAGTAATGTACTTACCCCAGAGTCGTATTTCATCTGTCTCCCCCACATACCAATATTAATATATATACCTATTACAATTACCATCCGTCATTTCTCAAAAACGATTGCTGTAATAAACAAACATGGAAGTAGTGGAAACTGTTAGCTGTGAAAAGTTCCCCAGAGTTTGTCGCAAATTACTAAAACTCTCTCCCAAGATGTCATGTATTAATTAGCATTCGCTGCTACTAATACTACTTGCCGGGTAAAAGTTTTCAATCGCATCAGGTGATTAATCGTAACATTCCATACGTCAAAAAGAAATTCAATTCTAAAGACGTTCGGGAACATGTCCCGTGAGTTGAGAATTTCTATCTTCGCATCCTAATTTAATAAAAGCACGAGTACACCAATGCAATGAGTTATGTCAATACAGATTTGACACATCAATATACACAAACAAGCACTGAAGAAATTTCCATAAATTTGCCAACTTTCAGCAATCGATGATGCCATGCACTTAACATATTGATTTCCCTAATACCTAACGATTTATAGTACCATTTATTAAACGTTGAATTAAACCGATGTGTAGTTATAAACCCAGCTTCTTCCCGCCTTATTTATTGAAAAGATACTTAAGACACCAAATAACTTCACAAACCAGGCTCCCGCATTCCAACCTCTGCTTGTCAAAGAAATATCATGCATCTCAAAATTGGATTACGTTGGCATGTCTCAACTTCTAATTTGTTAATTTTTACTAGTTATTAATTCCAACGCTGAACAGTTCAGTTTCCGAAAACAATCTATTCAAAAAATTAAACAAATGAGATGTACCAAATAACCAATAATTTGCCCTTTACAAGACAAAAATATTCATATTATTATTGACAGTAATAGTAACCTTTTCCCTATTCTACTTTGCAATAAATTCTTCATACCCCCATAGTGACGTTTATTTCTACGGTTTGCTACTCACGTAATTTGATGCACTCTTATCCTGAATTGTTGTTCAAGTTCGAGTCCTACGTTCATTTGTTTTAGTGAGACTAGACTAAAACTTATCGTTGGGGTAAATAATCCTAACCTTGCGTAATTAAAATCCTGTTTGCAAAAAACTATTGAAACCTGAAGACAACAGTCAACTTTCAATACCGCTGACGGAATTAAAACTTTTCAGCTGCGCCAGCGATTATGTCTTTACCAGAATTCGTTTACGAAACGAAAAACAAGAAACAATTGATTACTGTACCTTTTAACACAGTCTTTATTGAAATATAGAGGACTATTCTAATTTAAAAGAAAAGAGATTGAAAATATGATTTGAAGATAAACTGAATGAAGATAATGTTTTGCCTCTTATGCTACTCTTCTATAACTACTTTGCGTTTTACCAGTTTTCAGCATATTTTGGTTGTAAGCGGAAATATTTTGTGTAGCTTAATCCCGTCAGAATGATGTGGACATATCCGGCAATTGTTTACTTAGATGAAAACTTATCCAAATTCGACCATTCTGTTCTGACACTGACAATAATCTTTATAATAAAATAAACTCAAAAGATATAATAATATAAACAACTTTAGCCGAATGTTTCTTTCATGGCTACAATATGACTCGACGTAAATTTAAAACATACAGATTTATATAAGCATCGCATCACTCAACGCTTCAGGCATCAGACCCGAACACACAGTTATCGAACGTCGCAAACAATTTGATAATTAGATTTATCCTTCCCTGATGACCATTCTGCAAAGTTTTTATCCACGCTTATTACACTAAATTTACTTCATTTCACTAAAGCAAAATAAACCAATTATGACACCAACTACATATCCTCTTGAAATTTATTCCAAAAGACAAGTTATCGCCGTTTGCAGTAGATGAAAATTTCCAACAAAAGTACAAGAACATCCTCACCTCTAGTAGATTATAGAGCTATTTCTTTAATACAAAAAACACTATCTATAACCAAGATTCCTACTCCGTTACTTGCAACATAATCATATTGATTTGTTCTATTAATAAATGCCAAACCAACGACTGATTACGTAGGCATCTTTTTGTCAGCTGGAGAAATAAGACGTGTTTTTTTTTCAAATTTGGACAACGATTGCATTACCCTATTGACTTTTAATAAAAAAATCCAACATGCCATACTTACATTACAAAAAGTTTTTACCTGCCCGCAAAATCTAATGTCAGTGATTGTTATGCGGAATAACGAATTCGGAAGAGCAGCACCCCTGAGGTTGGTCAAGAGTACAACATACAGCAACTGTTGGACGTGATTCTGATTTCCTTTTTAAAGACACATACATTACACAACGTTTCAGCCATTTTTCTTTTTTTTTGTCATACGAGTCGCGCGAATCAAAGTAGCCCAACCGAAGCACTCGTTATAACATATATATGAGCAACGAAAACAGTGTTGAAACATTCAAAAACTGGTTTATTAAAAACTGCCATCAACTATCAAAATTTCTCAAAACAATCAATATAATAAAGCATGAAGTTTACGACGGTTAAGCTTTTTCTGACTTTTGTTCTTATTGCAGTACTTTTCGAATCGGGAACCGTACAAGGTAAACATTGTACCGTAGAATTATGACTATATAATACCACTGGAAAATTTAAATATTATAAGATTATGCACACACGACAAATATATATATAATATTAGTGCAACTAATACTTTACGTAATTTTACTTATTTCGTATTAATTTCCCAGCGAAGAGAAGACACTCTGCGAAGTTAAAGACAGACAAGTGTGCGACGTGTGATAAAAGTGATTTGAGAGCAGGCAGCTCCCAATAAGCACCTTTCCAAATTTTTGTGCGACAATGTATTTTATTTTTAGTGAACAACTAGAGGTTTATTTGTTAGCTGCCTTCGGCGGCGGGTGAAGGGGGAGGAAAAGATTGGGTTTGTAGAAAAATATATAGCAATAATGCGTTATTTATTATTGAAGGAAACTTAGTGTATAATTTATGAATTAAAATATTTCCTAAATTTGTATAATCTGAAATTGTGTTGAGATTATGCATATTAAAAGCTGTTGAACATAATGTAAGAAAGCTGTAAAGTTACGAGAATATATAAGGTTTGTTCAGTTTTTTAAAGTTATTTTATATTCTTGACGTCAATATAGGCAATTGTTTCTTTTATTCATCTGTTATGAAAATCGATTGGATTAATTTCCTTTCCTCGATTTACTCGTTCACATTAATATCTGTTGTCGAATTTGAAATTTTTGACAATACTACTATATACAGTACTATTTGAATGTCATACGATTATTGTGAATCATGCCGGTAGTTATTCTTGATTTCAATATCTTTAATAAGCCTTATTTGCAATTATCCACAGGACTAAAGTTACAGAATTATTTTTGATTTTTGTGCCCATAAACTAAGTACTAAAACTTCGCAATACGGCTGACCATCAACAAAGTATAGATGTCCCGTTGTATATATAAGCGAATTTTTAAAGCATTTTTAAATCGTCCTTGCATGCTGTGAGTTTAACGTTATGTCAAAGGTTTGCATTGAGTACTGCTTAGGATACGGTTTGACTTGAAGGGAGTGTATCGGTATACCTTGTTTGCTAATATTAAAGAGGTGCATAGCTCTACCTAGTCAATTTACGAGTGGCTGACCAGACCTATTACCAAAGAGTAGATTCAAAATTTTGTAGTGCATGATTATTTTAAACTTGCGCGCGTTTGATGACGGCAAAATAATTTTCTAATTTGTCGAGTGTACCACAAATAATCTCATGTTGCTTAGCATAAGTAACTTTCATGATAGTGACAAGTTATTATGTTTTAACGTAAAATTACAAAGGTTGCGCGGCAAGCAATGCAATGTAGTTACAGTAAAATGTCATAGGTTAAACGAATAAAATTACATAATGTACATACAATTTTGCATGTAAGTGTAGCCGAAAAAAATGCCTTTACTTTAATAAAGTATAATTGTAATTTCTATTAATCGTATTGGTATTGATCCTAATCGACTATTATAACAATCCTGTAATTTAAATTACCCCGTCTAACTTACATAAAGTACATACAATTCTTTATATAATACTGTATACAGTAGTTGAAACATGCTTTTAATTTAAAAAAGTATAATTGTGATGGCTATAATTTTGTCGGTTTTGATTTTTATTAATTTCATTATAATAATTTGTTAATTTGCCAAACTACTCTTGGTTAATTTATACAGTATGTACACTTGACCCCGTCAATATATTTATATAAGCAATTTGACCTACGAAAGTTAATCCCTTAGGTAGCTAATACAATTCTCGCCACAAAATACGGTTAAGACGACAGACGCATAAACTTTTTCCTGAGATAGGTTGCAATTTACTGGATTTGCGTTTATATTAACATAATTATAGGTAATAACTAAAAACTGTAATATTGAATCAGTAAATTATGTAAATAAAATGTGCAAAAAAATTCCAAACTATGAATCTAACTCGAATTCGAACATTTGACAAGTCAACATACTCGTGTATTGATTTACTTATCCATTAACTAAGCATGATAATGAGCTATATTACTCGACAATGATAGCACTTAATTTGAATGGTGCCCAATTTGTCTGCATTTTACTGGTGAGCGACGGTGTAGATGTATTTTCGAAGACTTGTTAGGCAGAAAATTTCTGAAATTTTACCAAAGTTTTTAGAATAGTTGCGTTAAAACTGTTATAATAAAGAGCTAAATTAGCATTGAATTGATTGAGTGTTTATATCACAGAAAAAACGAGTGATCGATTTCGAATTCCAAAAAAATTGTGATTATAAAAATGTATGAGCAACCCTTACTTCATTGAGGGACGTCATTCCAACATAAGGTCAATCTACGTAAATCGAAGTTTTTTTTCGATTGTTCGAAATTAACAAGAAAATTTTAGATTATATTGTACTCTTTAACCGGGACATATGTTGTTGGGCGTTATACAAAAAATAACTAATGCTGTTGACGTTGGCAGTTTATTGTGATTGACTTAGCAAGAGCAAAAAAAAATTCTTTATACATTGTTTGGGTTGGGACACGCCTTTGGAACTAGATAATTAATTAAATTTTATGCATAAAGTGCGCTCGCTTCGAAGTGGTAGCACACGCGCATTTCTTTCGGTTATTATTATACGAAAAGTGCACTTACGCGTAAGAATTTTGTAAAAAAAGAATTATTTAAAGGTAGCAAAATTTATAATACCGTGTATATCTACGTTCCAATTTAGCTTTATGACTTTTACTTTTTTGCGGAAAATAAAATTACGACATAAGATTTTCCGAAAACAAATCAAGCTATAATGGGTAATCGTAATGCCATACCCCTGCTTTTTATTGTCTTTAAAATATAAAGTCTTTGTTCAAAAAATAAAAGCAAATTTTTCTTTTCTTTCGAAGTAGCTGTTTGTACCCCTTTATTGATTGCACCTATGTTAGACGCTAAAAATGCGCTTTTTTTCGACAATAATGGTTATTGACGTCTATGGTAATACACCGCATTCTTTCTCGAAGTCTTAAGTCTGTAATCTCTTTAGCGTAAAATTCTGATGGACGATAATAATATTGAGTAAATTTTCTTTGTATGATCGACCTTTTGCAACTTCTCTAGCAAGTTTCTGACGCGTTTGTAAACTAAAGTTTAAAACAAAGTCGTTATCATAACCACGTTCAGATTTAGCTTTTGTATAATGTTTAAATATTCTTTATAATTTACACTGCAAGATTTATTTCTGGTACAATGGTTATCCCAATGTTTTTTATCATCTTACCAATGTACACTAATTGATTACACGAAATATATTCGGGCATGAAGATAATTTTTGCTCTGTACAAGGTTGCTTTCTCTGAGGTAATTTAGACGCCAAATTCGCCCTTTTCGTTCACCTGCAATTTCTCCAATACATACTTGTGACATCTACGACTATAATAGTAAGAAAATAAAGAGCCAATTATTACGAGCGGACGCGTTCATTCATATGTTACCGGTCCTTTAGATTTTCATACATCCCATTGTTGTCCCTTTACATTAAATATTATTTTTTTGACTAGTTTTAAAGCCATGCTCGCTTTAATAAACGTGTTTATACAGTAGATATCTTTACTGAAATACTGTATGTTCGATATACTGATGGTAAATCCCCACTACTACCGTTGTACATGTAGCTTCAAACTGTTTTATTCTGTAATGTTACATTTCCATCCTCTTCAGTATAAGTTTTAGGTTAGAATAATAGAGAAATTATGTACGTATAACATAGAACAATAAGGACTTGTTTGCTATACAAAGACCGAGTCTAGCAGGAGGTTGATAATACTTTTTAACTCGTTGAGTGCCATAGCTACAGCTTACCCAGTTGGAAGGGTAAAACCAGAGAAAACGGCCTTATTATTAACGTTGTAAGCAAATATTTAACTAGTTCGCAAGACCGTAATTATTATCGCCCGTCTTACATATAACTCGCCTTTTTGGACAATCAGATTTATTACAGTTTAAGTAAACGTACGAGACTAAATTATTACGAAAGAAAATTTTACAACGTAGTATGTGCTTAGTTAGAAGAATGTGGCAGTTTTATGCTCAATTGTGACTTTACAATCAAACAGATTCTTGTCGGACAAACTCGTCGAAATCGAAAGGACGAGGGCTGAAACTAAACTTGTCATTATCAACATGTGGGAACGATGAACCTTCTATAATAATGGTTAGGAAGAAATCCATTGGTGAAGGAATTGGATCAATCTTATTCAGGAATCTGTGTTTGATGTCTTTGTCTACGACAACTTGCCATTCAGAGCCTTAACGTAAGGTAACGTAAATTAACAATGATGAAACATGTATTTCCTAAGAGAAAGCAGCAAGTGTAAAAGACTTACCGGTAGCTTCTTCAAGCTTTTTAACTATCTGGTTGAGTGAAAATCTCGAACTAGCAAGCTTGAGAGTAGCGTTACGACTTGCTTCTATTTTAAGAGATTCAGCAGTATATTTGCCAACATCTGCCAGATAAATAGTGGCCAATATGGTATCGCCGTCTGCATAGAATTTGGCCGTCTTATTTTTGACATCAAACCCAACCGAGCCAAGATATTCTGAAAACATTCCGCACAGAATGTTGGTGTACTCAAGTCCACTTTTTTTAACCTTCTCACGGAACGCGGCTTTGCTATCGGTCTCTACATGAACACCAATTCTTTTTTTCAGATAGGTGAGAGATAGTAAAATGTATTTTGCTGTTATAATTGGTTACAGAAAGCATAGTCGATAAGAACAAGGGAGTAGATTAAGCGGCGAGACTTACTCGGCTTCCATACCGAATTCAGATGGATAAAACCTTCTCACACCGGCAGCTTTAGCAGCGTTCAACAACGGAGTTTGAAGAGCGTCAAAATCATAATTGCCCTTGGCTATTCCGGGAGCTACAGTACTGATTAGCGCATCGGTTCCCCTAAGAACGTTAACAAGATCATCATGCTGTTTATAATCAGCGTAGACAATTTCTGCACCCTTGGAAGCCAACAAATCGGCTTTCTCGTTTGCGGTTTTTGGCAGTCTTCGAAGAATTTTCACGTTAAAAGATCCATCGTTCAACAGGGCTTCGCTTATATGATAACCCAACCCTCCGGTGCCTCCCGCGACAGTTATGTTGGTGAATGGTAAGTTGCTCATGATAAATTAAGTTTTTTTCCCAATGCCGATAATAAATCAAGACATTTGTGGTATCGTTAGTATTCTTAATTTGGAACATATTGTAACGGAAGCACAACGTGTAATACAGTCAAAGCTCGAAAAACGGATATTAATATTGGCTCTTTTCTATCGGTTTTGCGAGATATCAGTTTTTTTATGATTGGCCGATTACGATTTAATTGTACTACCGAGTATGATTATCGCTAAAAAAATAATTTATATCTCATAGTAATAGGTATTATTATTATGAGTGTTTCGGAAGTGAAAAAAGTATCGATTTTGCGAGTTATGGTTTTCTGAGTCATTCCGTTTTTCAAACTTTGACTGTAATAACAATTACCAAGCGATATATTATACTATGACTTTAACCCATTGTGAATATGAATTACAAAATCTCGCTTGTTTCCTTTCAGCACACAGCATTTTGGTTGATCATTGAAAGCGTATTATGGTGATTGCAACCGCCCAAAATGCCCAACACAGCGCAGATGCATATCCGAGTCTGTCATTTCTGATTAGTCACCATAAAGTATTTGCCATTGTACGCATGCGTATAATGAAGATCGCTAAAATTAAACGTTAATTTGACTTTATTACTTGTACGGTTTTATTAAAACAAGCAAGTTTCTTGACTTTTTCGAACACGCAATTATTTACAATAGTAACATTATTTCTTCGATACGACAAATTAACATTCAGCTTAACGCGGTCTCAACTATTCTTCTTCTGTTTACTTTTCGGTATAATCGTATAATACAGTAATAAAACAAGAAATGCAAGTCAGACAAGGAAAATATTTGTAAAAACTGTTTTCTACCTTATTAAAATTTTGTCTCTTATTCCTATTCCTTTTACAAATAAATTTTTACATTTTTATTCTTTTATATTACATAAAATTCCGACTTGGAATGCTCATATAGTCTGTCAAAAACGTTAGAGAATTCTGTTTGTTTTAATACGACTGCACATGACAATGGCTGAGTTGAGAAATAAACAATTGTTGCAATCATATAAGAAAAACTCTAAGTCATGTTAGTAACTGTTCATTATAACGCTCAGTTGTAATGCCTTCAAGATAATAACAAAGCTTTTATTTAATAAATACTCAAAATAATAAAATTGTTAAAAAATAATAGGGATAACAATTTAAATTATCAATTTATACCAGATAATAATAACAAATAAATTGGCCATATTAACAGCTTTCATTACTATAATTTATCTTATATGCCAGTTTTTAGTTTTATTCTAATTTGTTCTTTTTGGCTGGATAAATTTCAGCTAACTCTTGAATTTTTCTTTTTAACTTGGATTTCTCATTGTATTCAAAAAAATAAATCTTGTTTTGTGCCTTAATGTACCCTTGCTCAGCAGCTCTTTCATATAATATAATAGCTTTTTGTTCATCTTGTTTCACTCCAATTCCTTCCTCATAACATTTACCAAGATTATATTGTCCATATGCATGCTTTTTTACAGCTGCTTTTTGAAACAACTTAACAGCCCTTTGAATATCTCTTTTTACCCCAATTCCATTTTTGTAACATAGACCAAGACTAACATATGCATAAACATTCCCTTGATTGACTGCTTCTTGATACAGTTCCACTGCTTTTTGAACATTTTTATTCACACCAAGCCCTTTTTCATAACACCAACCGAGGCTCTCCTTTGCATTGGAATTTCCTTGCATAGCTGCTTTTTGATACAATTCAAAAGCTTTCTGATAATCTGTTTCTATGCTAATACTTTTTCTATATAAATAACCAAGCTCAAACTGAGCACCAGCATATCCTTGTTTAGCAGCTTTTTGGTACAATTCAACTGCCTTTTGATCATCTTTCAATACTCCAGTTCCATGCTGATAACACACACCAAGAATATTTTGTGCAGGAGCATAGCCTAATTTAGCAGCTTTTTGATACCATTCAATTGCCTTTTGATCATCTTTCCATACTCCAGTTCCATGCTGATAACACACACCAAGATTATATTGTGCATTAGCACATCCTTGTTTAGCAGCTTGTTGATACCATTCAAATATTCTAGCAAGATTAAATTGTGCAGCAACATATCCTTGTTTAGCAGCTTTTTTGTACCATTCAACTGCCTTTTGTTCATCCTTTTCTACTCCAGTTCCATCTTCATAACATACACCAAGATTATGTTGAGCAGCATATCCTTGTTTGGCAGCTTTTTGATACCATTTAACTGCCTTTTGTTCATCTTTCCATACTCCAGTTCCATCTTCATAACATACACCAAGATTATATTGAGCAGCAGCATATCCTTGTTCAGCAGCTGTTTTATACAATCCAACTGCTTTTTGTTCATCCTTTTCTACTCCAGTTCCCTTGGCATAACAAAAAGCAAGATTATTTTGTGCAGCAGCATATCTATATCCTTGTTTGGTAGTTTTTTGATACCATTTAACTGCCTTTTGTTCATCTTTCCATACTCCAGTTCCACATTGATAACACACACCAAGGTTATATTGTGCAGCAGCATACCCTTGTTCAGCAGCTTTTTTATACCATTCAACAGCTTTTTGTTCATCCTTTTCTACTCCAGTTCCCTTGGCATAACAAAAAGCAAGATTATTTTGAGCACTGGCATGTCCTTGTTCAGCAGCTTTTTTATACCATTCAACAGCTTTTTGTTCATCCTTTTCTACTCCAGTTCCATTGGCATAACATAAAGCAAGATTATTTTGAGCACTGGCATGTCCTTGTTCAGCAGCTTTTTTATACCATTCAACTGCTTTTTGTTCATTCCTTTCTACTACTACTCCAGTTTTGTCTTCATAACATAAAGCAAGATTATATTGAGCACTAGCATATCCTTGTTCAGCAGCTTTTTGATACCATTCAACTGCCTTTTGTTCATCTTTTTCTACTCCAGTACCATGCTGATAACACACACCAAGATTATTTTGTGCAGCAGCATATCCTTTTTCAGCTGCATTTTCATATTCCTTGAATATGGAATAAACTTCATCCAGAACTTTTTTTCTTGATTGATCTTCAAAGGTGATAGAAGTAGAAGTCATGTTTTATTATGAGTTTCTTCGATAAATAAGTTGTTTGTTTTGTGAATATAATAGTAATAGTAATGCGTGGAACTGTTTTGGAAGAACGGTTGTAGATCTACAACTTATTATATTAAGCAACATATGGGTGGCTTTTAGGGAAGGGAAATGACTCGATTGCTATTGGTTTTTTTACAACAAAGTTTGTATTCATAATATTCGACGGATGTGATAGCCGTATAGTTAGTGACGATTCTTCTTTTAGTAACCAAATTTACATTGTCATTACCTTACACTCAATCCTCGCGAAAACGCACCTCTTTTCTCATGAAATGAGAATGGAGAGTTGAAATAAGGGTTAGACCAGGCGAAGAGTGGTTGGAGAATGTAAAAAGGAGCTGACAAAGAAGAGAACAACAAATGGGAAACAGGTGGATGTTTTTAAAGGCCAACATCAACGGTCGTGACTTGGACGTTGGGATATATAGAGTAGACTTGACATTTCCTCCTACCGCGTTCTTGTGCATACTACCCTAAAGTGGTTCCAAAGGAAATAATAAACTGGAAGATCCTGTAGAAGATGCAGTGGCAAAAATATTCACAGAAGAATATTGCATAGTACACGTTAGCAAACTCTCAGCATTAGGACATTTAGCTAACAGTCGCCAATTTTAGTAGATCGGCGAGACTACAACTCTGACTTTTTACTGTTCTGGAGAATGTCATGGTAGAGGACGATGTATCATCGTAAATAATGGAGAAGCTTCTATTTAAATAAAAATTGGAGCAGTTCCAATCAAGTAAATGGCCCTCCAATAAAGGAACTACTGCGTCTCGTTACTTTGTCGCACATATCTGACGCGTCCTTTGAATGTTATGACTTTCATCTGGCCGATGGAAGATGGACTATCGAATATAGATACTTCTCGTAATGACTATGAGAACGACGTATAAAGAAGTAAACAGTGACGATAATCCATCAGCGTCTTTGTTGTGTAAGGGGAAACTTTCGTTTAAATCACGAGCTCAAAGAACTGATAACCAAAGACGTAATTCGAGCAAATTTAGAGATAAGGCGAGCATGTTAATTTTGTATATTGGCAATTTGTACATCTGTTCTTTTGTTATAGCTGGCAAGTTTCATTAAGCCCGACTATGAGTCTAGGGTAAGTATTAACATTCATTAACAAAGTCACGATAAACTTTGTTCTAGTTTCTCGTAATAATTGTATTATGCTCTATACACGAGAATATAATTCATCCCGCAGTTAAGTAAAAATAAAAAGCGACAGTTCCTCCGATAAATATTATACACAGTATAATACGTGTTTACGTAGATTGGTCCATTAAAAGTTTAGCCCAAGGATCTTCGAGCATTGATTTTTTGTAGTAAAGTTTAGGATCAATGTTCTCTTCAGAATGCCGTGACTTCCCTGCTGCACTAGCAGACGTTTCTGACTGGGATTGTACGTCATCTGTTATTTTGCGTCTCTACACAAAATCGAACAATCATTACAACATTCTGTTCAAATTTTCGGACATGACCCAGTCCAGTACCTTTGACATATCCGTTCTGTCTTGTTGGTAATAAACCGCTCGTCCGCGCTGCCCATAGCCTCCTCCACGCTGGTCATAACCCCCTCGCCGACCATAGCCTCCACGCTGGCCTCTGTTGTTACCGCGACCTCTAGGTCCTCGCCAGCTACCTCTGAAACCTCCATCAATTCCAGACTGTGAATTATGGTGTAAAGTCAGCCCGTCATCAACTGAATCGACACTTTGATCTCTAGCATCATTAGCCTCTTGTTTATCAATTCCTTCCGAAGGATCAAAAGAGACAAATGAACTCGGCAAGGGAGGGAGAGCTGGGGAGGAAGAGGACGTTTGCTGAGGTTCCGTCATTTCTCAATAGAAAAGGAAAGATTAACATCGACTAAAGAATGTGTTTACGTATCACGTGAAGTGAAAATCTTTAAATACACGTAAGCTTGTAACACAGGTTATAAAACTCATTCTCTTTACAAAAAAATGTCTGCCGTCGAGGCCCAAGACGTAGAGATGGTGGCGGCGGAGGAAGAAGTCGATGAAACGGCCAAGAATGCCTTGGAGGCCGATGCTTTAGTGCTAGCAGGTGCATAATTAATTGCTCCATTCGACGGGGGGACCATGATTTTGATATTAATTGTTGCGATTCGGTCTTTTTTTCACACATGATCAAATAGATCTCAAACAGAATTTTGCCTTACTTGAACGAGCCGTGGCGACCATTGAATCTCGCTTCATAACACGTGTTTTACGGACTATCGCATCGATTCGAAAGCGTCTGAATGCGAATGTATTGAGTCAGGCCATTCAATTAGCTTTTCCGAGAGGTCAGCAGATCGGTTCCATATTTAAGCGCGATGCTATATGGATGAATTGATTCAGCGTCAATAGCATGTTTTATTTTGTCAAGGACTTTTTTCATGAGGATCATTATCCAGCAATATGGCATTAAGAGCGTTTATGAAAATTGAACTTTCAACTTTGAAACAATAGATTCACCTGATAGAAGTAAATTGCTGGACTATCTCGGAAAGGTGCCAATCGATGTTTATTTTATTAGTGTTTCTTTTCGTTTAGATTGCTTATTGCTTACTGCCTGCGTTCTTTGTAAACTTTTGTTTGATCCAGGAAAGTGGCGTGATGGAAGTCGATTTCGATGAAGACACTCGCGAACAGGTTCCAATTTTGCCAGAAATAGATTTTTATCTTAGTCTGATGGTTATGATATATCTCTTGGACAGACAAGAACTTGAAAAGGTAAAACAATCAACAGTATGCCCCCTGTTAACTCATTTACGTGTCATACGATTGTTAATCGCTCGCCTAATTTTGTCTCGTTAGGGCGTTCAATTGGCAAACGAGACTACGGCCAGGCTTCAGACTTTCAGTCGCCGTACATTAGATCAACTTTCTGCACGCATATACTTTTATTATGCTCGTTTCTACGAACTTTTGGGGAAATTGGCCGAAATAAGGCCGTACGTATTCTACTTTTACTTTACATCTGTTTTCGGGCTCAATCGCAACATTTTCACAATTACGTGTATGCCAACAGAATATTACTGGCGGCTCAGAGAACGGCTACGTTACGACACGACGATGATTGTCAGGTAATAGACACTTATACGTTCGGCTTAATTCTAGTCGATTTTGCCTGACCACGGTTGTTCATTATAGGCCACTTTGCTTAACCTACTTTTACGGAATTATTTCCATTACAACCTTTACGATCAAGCGGATAAGTTGGTCAGCAAAGCAACATTCCCCGAGTCCGCGGGAAACAATCAACAAGCGCGCTATATGTACTATTTGGGTATGTTGAATTATGGATTGGGACACAGCAAGATGCCAATATTCCGTTCTAAAGTTTTGTGTAACAAATGACCCCCACTTAGGTCGCATCAAGGCTATCCAGCTTGACTATACTGCCTCGCATAATCACTTGTTACAGGCCATGCGCAAGGCGCCACAGAATACGATTGCGGCGGGTTTCCAACAGGCTGTAAGATGTTTTATCTCTCTCATCAATAGTCAATGACCAATGAACTCACCGGAGTTTTGCTAAGACGTCTTGCCATTATAGGTATATAAGCTTTCGATAATTGTTCAGCTATTGATGGGAGAGATTCCTGAACGAAGTATATTTAGACAACCAGTTCTCAGGAAACCATTGATCCCTTATTTACATATTGTGCAAGGTATTGTCAATCTATATTCATCTAATTAATTGACATGACTGTTAAATCATGTTTCTTTATTTTAGCTGTACGGGTTGGCGACTTGTCAAATTTCCAAGAAACACTCGCTAAATATAGCGATGTCTTTCGAGCTGACAAAACCTTCACGTTGATTTTAAGGTGGGAACGAGTAACGTTATCTGTCACAATGTCTTTATGTTTTTTACCAAGTTGTCTCTTTCTGCCGCATAAAGGTTACGACATAACGTCATTAAAACGGGTATCCGGATGATAAGCTTATCATATTCACGCATACATTTGCGTGACATCTGTTTGAAATTACATTTAGACAGCGAGGAAGATGCTGAATATATTGTTGCCAAGGTAAGTGAATGTCGAGACGCAAACTGCTTCCTAACTATTGCTGATCTTTAAACCAACATTACAGGCCATCCGTGATGGTGTCATTGACGCTACTATAGATCATGAACATGGATACATGAAGTCAAAGGTGAGCAGGATTGGTGTATTAATGATAAGAAAATATACAACGCTTGACTAAAAACAATGGTAAAAATGCCACCATTTGATTTCAGGAAAATGTCGATATTTATTCCACAAATGAGCCCCAAGTTGCCTTCCATCAGCGTATTAGCTTTTGCCTGAATCTACATAACGAATCCGTAAAGGTAAGCAAGTTATCAAGTACATTTTTCAGTTTATTGTGTGTTCTTCATTCTGACGACTGATTTTTGATAAAATAAAGGCCATGAGGTTCCCTCTGAATGCTCATCGCAAAGAATTAGCGTCCGCAGACGCACTGCGCGAAAGAGAACGAGAGCTTGTCAAGGAAATTGCCGAAGGTGAAATGGATGAGGACGATGATGTGGCAGACTTCTAGATTAAATAATAAAATTTCATTATATAATTATCAATTCACCATGATTTCGGAAGCTTGTATAATGAAGTTTGTGTGTCACCAACTCCCATGTGACGTACACATTCAGTCATGAAAATTATCGTGACTGTGGAGTATGGGAGGTGATGTTTGGCAATAAGGGGCTAAGCATTCGCAAGTTACGAATATGAAGAAAACAAAAAAAGAAACCTGTTAATGAAACCTCGGAAAGCCAAACATGAGTTTTGACATTGATTACAGAAATATTAGTTTATTTCAAATAAGTGCTTTTGGGATATATGAATGTGTATATATATTTCATACTCGAAAGTTACAAATAAACGAAAGGAATGTGCAGTCTCTTGTTTCGTATACAAGATTTATTCAGAGGCACGATAACGTAAAAAAAATAGACTTATCAAAGATATATATATTAACTTGCTCTCTTATACTGTTTACTTAACAGCCAAAGGTATTCTCACCAGAGTAACTAGAAAGAAAAAAAAAAGGCAATAATTCGATCAGAATACGAATGAACAGCATGCGATACGTTCAACGCACATTACGATGACTTACGTTATATATAAAAATCCATCTTCGTCTTTATGTTCTTCATAAATACTCGACATAAGCGCTGCTGTAGGCGGCAAAACCTCATCAACAAATATAAAAATCGCCTTTTCTGGGCTGAGCTTGATACGTTTCCGAATCACATAAACGAATTGGCCGACAGTCAAATCAGCGGGAACAAGATATTTCTTCTTGTCAATCGTAGCAATGTCAGACTTTTCGACCTTTTCACATATGACCTAAATTGAACGGGATACACAATTTGAGTATATATGAAAGCAGTTAGACACTTATCGATTCCACACAATGGCGGCGACCAAAGACTGTCTAATCAAATAAACGTCTATAGCGTATTTATCATGTCACCCAACCAGTCTTCATTTCCAAAGAATGGTTCATTGGCCATCGAAACAAACATCCTTTCCGATACAATGTTGTAAAGCGTTCGATGCATGTCTAACAAGAAATACTCACCGGAATTCTATCGGGATATTTCTGACGGATCCGTTCCGCTTCAGCCTTGCGCTTGTCTAAAAGATATAATGAAGTAGTTAGTTGTTGTTAGTGATGATTAATAATGACAGTCAACGGTTCGCCTTGACTACACGTTATCTGGTGGGTACATGTTTCAGAACATACCAAAGGGGTGCTCGTCCTTAAACTTAGACCTCATTTTATGATACGAATTGTATGAACGTTGAAAGTAAAGCCTAAAGCTGAAAAGAGTAGTGTTGAAACGTATATAACTGAAGAGGGGTTTGAGATGCGTGCACCCTGCAAGCACAGAAGGAATAACAAGTGAATAGTATCGCTGGGGAAAAAGAAAGGGGTTTTATAGCAATATGATTGGATGGCGCAGTTAAGGGCTGCCACGCATACGTAATATAAATTAGCCTGCGCCTTGTGATCAAATACATATGTACGCACAAAAGTAACGTAAAGCGTCATACGCAATCTATTACTATTACTATTTATTATTACTGAGCCGCAGTTGAATATTCAAATTCGACTACGGCCCATTCATTGTTGTTCATTTTTGAAATCACTCCGGCTCGTACTAATGAAACATCCTTGAAATCACGTGAAAATAAACGGGTTGATTATCGTAGGATCTCCCGCCACCACTCATCGCTGAGAAACTGACAAGTAAATGCGTCACCAACATGCAGACTCTGTTTATCCGCGGACCACCGAGATCATCGTTGCAGGCGACTGGAATCGTAAGACAATTTGTGACATCTGTTCATAATAATAGACGAAAAGCAGTTATAATTGGAGGATCAGGGTTCGTTGGTGAGAACGTTGATATCACTTGTAAAACCTCGAATATACAAAACATGCTTAATTTGTGATATTTTTGTATTTATCAACATAATTCGTGAAATCAGGGAAATATGTTGCCAAAACCCTTGTTAATGATTCCAATACAGAGGTACAAATATGTGCACGACATCCGAATATCAATGATTTGAAAACGCTAGGTGATTGGGGATCATGTTTTCAAGTTTCACTAATTCACGTTCAGCAATTGTAATAAATGTTACAAACATTCTGCTTACTCACACTCTTCTTTATTAACCTACTTAGGCAATCAAATACTTTCGCCAATCTCGTGTGACATTACTTCTCAATCAGACATATCAAACGCGTGCAAAGATGCCAACATTGTAGTCAATCTAGTTGGAATAATGCATGAGAAGCCTCCAAAATACACGTTTGAAAATGTGCAACATCAAGGTGCAAAAAAGATAGCAATCGCTGCAAGAGAGAATGAGGCTCAACTGGTTCATATCAGCGCCATAGGAGCTGATCCTAATAGTAATATACCGTATGCTAAAACCAAAGGTAAACATGTGTAATGTCAAGTTAGCGTTACGATAGAGCGTATCACACTTTTACTCATTACATTGCATTTTTTAAGGATTGGGCGAAATCGCCGTCCGCGAGGAATATCCAGACGCCATCATCATTCGTCCTAGCTTGATATTTGGACCCGAAGATGACTTTTTTAATGTAAGCTCATGATTTGCATATATGAGCATTAGCACTTGTGTGAGAGAGAGAGAGAGCAAGAGAGAGAGAAAGCCAAAGCCAGTCATGCCCAATTTATAGCTTATTCTTTTTTCTTGAGAAAATTATTATACAAAAAAGATTTTACTAAATTTATTACTACAAGCGATTTGCCAAATTAGCTCGATATCTTCCATTCATGCCAGTATTCGGAGGGGGAAATACTAAATTTCAGCCAATACATGTGTGGGATTTAGCCAAGGCGATAACCCAAGCTGCCAAAGACCGAAATCTACGAGGGAAGACAATCGAGGCAGGAGGGCCGACCGGTATGCAGCAAAAAGAATTAACCTTGTGAAACTCGACAACTCGTCCATGATCTAACTGCGAAAAATAGTATACACTTATAGAGAGTTAATCTCCCTAACTCTGAGTCAGGCCGGTATCAAACGACCCATAATTTCTTTGCCATGGTTCGTCGGGACGGTACAAGGTTTCTTTCTCGAGAAACTCCCAGTAAATTTATTTACAATTACAAGAGATCAGGTCAGACTTCTTCGCAAGGATAATATCGTTTCATCATCATCTGATGTGTTGACTCTTCAAGATATGGGAATTGATCCTCGTCCGGCCGAGCAGGTACATTTGAATAGGCCCTAGTTACGTTCAGCGAGAACCCCCTTTACTTACTTACTGATGACGATTGTTCATGTTGTACACTTTTAGATTCTACATCAATATCTGAGACAGCGTGATCGCGCGACAAGCAACAAGAGAACGCATAGAATGGTCGATAGAGATACTATGGAAGAAATGGCTGAAATTGAGAAGATACGCAAACAGATGCCAAAAAAGGGGTTAGAATTGGAAGAAAAATATAGGAAAATACAAGAGCAACAAGTTATTAAGCGGTAGAATATTGAAGTATTATTAAATCTTTGCTATAGACAGATCCTGTACATTTGCTCACGTTTTTAATGTGATCTTGTTTGCTATTGGTTTTTGGGATTTTGCGCTTTTGATTACTTTCATAACTTGTCTCGTCCAGATTGCAGATTTTTTTTCCCCCAAAACGATGATCAATTGTATTTCCCAAGCCGTTGATGTGGCTCGCGTAATGCTAACTTTTGAGTCGAACCGTCTTCCCCAGAACGGCAGACCTTACAAAAACAGCCTCAGAAATTGATACCCTTTGAATCTCTATTACTATCTATAAATTCTTTTTTACAACCCACTAATCATTTTAGATCAAGGAAGATATTATCGCTTCTTATGCACTTATTTATGACGACGAAACTATCATAATATACAATAATAAAATTATTCGTCACATTCATTGCTGGACTTTTTTATCCAAATATCACTCTTGACGTTTGCAGAAACTATACCCTCCTAATTGTTCAAAACCATTAAACTATCTAGGACTAATGTTAATTATATTTTGTTTCTATCCATTCGTCTTAGCGCGAGTAAAAAATTTCATCTTTAAAAACTAACCAACACTAATATTAATTATGTTTTGTTTCTATCCCATTCGCATTATAGCGCGAGTAAAAAAATTTCATCTTTATTTCCATGCCAAGCCTGAACGATGATGGGATTTTGATGACGCGTATCTGCGCAAGTTTTAGCATGAGAGCTGATACAATGAAATTCTCACGTGTATCAAGCAAAACATGTACTTTGGCAATTCTCATTAATTCCAAGTTTGGGATGGGTATTTTTGATGGGAGAAAAATTTTTGTACGTCATCTGTTTTCGTAACGGAAAGTCTTCCCGCTTTGCCAGGCTTACCATTTATACATTAGACTTTTTGACGAGTTTTTGTCGCGTGTAACTTCTACGGGGGGAAAGTTACCTAACATCTACAAGTATTACAAATTGATAGGGATAATTTTGTCACGTGTTTTTGATATCGTAAAGTCGCATGATGCATACAACGATATTGCTAACTTTGCGAGTCGTATGTTCTCCAGTAATGTACATGTCACACATCAGCCATAATAGAGAAAAAATACCAAAGCCGTCCCTTTTATTAAGTTAATTTTACGGGTTGGATAACACCATTCAATGTATATTGATTAAAACATGCCGTCAGCAGTGTAATTTTAGTTTAATTTTAATATATTTAAAGTATATTGTAAATTATTCTTCCTGTCTCGCTCTCTGCTGGACAACCAAATCTTTTCCAGTAACCCGTTTATAGATATCTTTCACATCAGCGCACACCGACTCAAAGTGAGATGTGGCATCATACGAGCGAGAGATGAAGACGCCGTCCTTTGTACCATCTTCAATTGGTTCTTGGAGATCAGATTTATAGACAAACCTAAATATCGGGTTTGAATGAATGAGTGATCATGTAACGACTTGCAGCAAGTATAAACAATCCATGTCGTTCTCTAAATTTCAACTCACTTTTCTTTGATAGGGCCCAAAAGTTTTAATCCAGGTTGAAGTTCGGCCTCCGGATTGTCAGTTTCCACAATAGTAGAAACAATAGCGAGGTAATAGTTCTGTGCGCACACAAAGTGGGTGTTTGAAAGACTTGCAACATAAATGTCTGTGAAAAGTAATAAAAATATTAACATGATGAGGTATAACATTAGCAACCTTGGACACTTCTACACTGAGAAAAGTCTTTGTCCGTACCATGTTTCCTCTTGGCTTGATTCTGAGGAATAATAATTTGAACTGAATTCATGTTTGAATCCGTATTCGGTATCGGATGGGTAAGAATGCATATAGCACGAACCACTTCCCCGACTTTTCGCACTTTGCTCGTGAAGTACGATGGATCACCAATAACCTGTTTCGCTCTGGCAGTCTACAGGTGTGATATTGATTAATGAGATTTTGCAAACGTCAATTTTACAAGTGCATTCATCAAGTTACCTCATTTTCAGAACGCACTCCGACCACTTTGCCATCCTCGTAAACGATCTCGTCGATTTGTTTGTTCAACATATAAGTACCGCCGTAGATGGCACTCAGACTGCATATCCAAAACAGAGACACAGTTCAGGCTTTCATGAATACGCGCGTTGTCGTTTTGTTTTTTTTTTGTAAATCTTAAACTCACCGTGCAAAACCTTGAGGCAATTCACCCAACCCATACAAAGGATAGATATAGGGACTCTTGAGATTTGGAAAGCGTGTTACCGAAGTAATGTATAGAATGATCCTTTCGTACGTCTCGCGGGCAGAACGTTCAAGATATCTATATGGAAATAGCACATACACGCACGCGCGCGCATTGACGAGATTACGTATTAATACATTGGTAATTTTAATGTGTGCGATAGATTGCTCAGACTTTATACTTACGAATCGTCCAAATATAGAGCCATGGCATGACCAACAAACTCTCTTGTTCCAGGCTCAAGACGGAACTTATCATACACGGCCGACATTGTGGTAGTGTCCAGATTAACACCTTGTAAGAAAAAAAAAACGTTTACCATGAAATTAATACCCAGTGACTGCTTGGAGGAGGGGGGGAAAAACTCTACAAATAATACCTTGATGGGTGCTCGGATCGTCATCATTCCACTTTTGCAAAAATTCCAAGAAATTCTTTAGTCTCCTCTTTTCAAACATTCCCATCAAAGAACTAGTCAATGCATCTTGCTCAGAGGCAGGCACTTTATAAATCTTTTCGCCGCTTGCGACATAAGATCCCGAAATATCTTTAAACTCGATATATCGCGTGACGTCAGTATGAATGAGGATCTTGACCAGTTCACCATTGGCCATCATGAACTTTGGAATGAGATCGACATTCCAATCGCGATCTCGCCCATATTCATCGGGTTTCGTTCCGCCTGGCCGAAATTTACGATAGAGCTAAAAACACATTGCATGATACAAGTTAGCACTCGAATAAGAAACAAAAGCTTTTATGAAACGCATTCTATAGATACTCTTTTTTCTACCATGTATGCTAACAAGATCGGGTGAATGGGATGGGATTACACGATAATGGTTTCACCCCGTTAAAAAAACTCGTTGCAATTTGCGATTAATCGACTCATCTAATTATCATTCGTAACAAGCTCCCAGGTAAATTTCCCATCACCCACGAGTTTGGCTCGCGACACTGGCCACCCAACAAAGGTTTCATGACGTACCCGCGTCAAGTCCAGACTAGCGCTCTCACCACCATAATAGTCGTTCCTGTCCATGTGAAGGACTTTCTTGCCCTCGACAGACAGTAAACCAGATAGAATACATTCTGTCAAGCCGGTACCCAAGACAATAACATCATATTCTTCATCCTGCAAGACGAAACGTCAAAGAAGCAAGTGTTGAGCATTAGACTAGTCCAAACAGGCTATTGACACGTATCCATCAATAGTTAATAATATTATTCACCATGGTGCAGAGGGTAAAGTATTAGATTATCTGCCAAGAAAGTCCTTAAAAAACCTTAATCGAGCACTGGAAAAAAAAAGAGATACACGAGAGAGTATCCGCAGAAGGGAACCAGTTTTCCTCCTTTAAGGGGTAAAAGCAAATAATACCTTTGGGCCGCAGTTTGATATGTATGATTGGTTTGGACTATATATCTGTACAACAAGCCAAATTCGATAACGTTAGAGGTGATAACGATAAACGTTAACTGAAAAATGAGCATAGTTACCATAATTGGTAAATTATTCGAGTTTTATTTACCCTCTTGTTTCCTATATGCAACAAATGTTAACATGCCCAATAAAATATGCTCTATTCTATTCGAGAAATTACTTTCGTGAAACGGGCCCATCACCACTGTCAAAAACGACAAGCCTTGAACAGATTTATCGTGCCATAATCAATGACGTCCGCGGACGCCTATTTTGAGATCTCATCATCACGTGCTCAACATTCCGACTTCTTGGCATTTAAAGTTTTTCTTTTTTGCTGCTTCTAAAATCTAAATCTTCCAAAAAAGATTTTTGGTTCTATTTAGATGAAGAGGGGGTTTCAACAAGACGTTTAAAGGTCTTTTTGTGTTGATGCGTTGGAAAAACGGGGCCACGTTTTGAAAATATAACACTTTGTGGTCTTATTTATGTCGTGGTCGGTTGCCTATAAAGTCTTTAAAGTTGCAAATTATTTACTTGCCTATTGGTACATTTTTTGACGCTTGCTTTCTTTTCATGGTCCCTTTAATAAGAGACACATGTCTGTTTGATCTTGCTTAAATATTGTGCTTTATTCTCGGGATTCTTTGCAGCGATTTGAATTCTACGATTCGTGCAAGCACGGTTTAGACGGTGGTTTAATATTAATATCCAGTTGATCATATCGGATGAGAAAAGTTGTTGCGCGCTTGTTCGACAAACATCGGAATGAAGCATTCGTAATGTTCGAGATGAATCTTTTTCTTTTTTTATTTATTTATTTATTTATTTAACGGCGTTGTTGCGCGTCTAGTCTATACATTGCAAAAGAAGTAACGTTTTAGAGTCAAGCTTGGCGGTAAACTCGGTTTTTCCGCAAAAAACCTTCTGACGCCAAGGATAAAAGGATAAACTCTAATTGTTTCAAGAATTCTGCTGCCGAAAATCGGTATTTATCAAATATAGACTAAATCAGCTTTTTTAAATTAAATGTGCACAATTAAAGATGTGATGAATACGACATGGATTTTTGACTAAAACATTCATACAATAAGAATGTCAAGGAGGGGGGGGGGGGTTGTGGGACATGGCCTGGCCTGAGGGTTTGTTTCATTGCGGTAAAACTTGCGCTTTTTCGAAAGAAAGTTTTGTTTGTGGCGAACTCAAAAGGTTGCCAAACATTGGCGTTTCAGGGCATTGTAACGATTGATACGCGTACTACTAGACTTGTTTCTGCAACATGTGATTTTTTTAGAGTCACTTTTTATCTGATTTATACGATAACGATATAACGATACATATAAAACTTTT